ATAATATATGCAAAGTCACTGAATTTCACTTGGCATAAAGGAGAAAGAAGAGAAAATAATAGGACCAGAGGATGAGGTATATGGGAAACTTACATGATAAGGCTAGAAAAGGTATGCTGAGGCCATATTAGGAAGCAGTTTGGACCTAGATTAGTAAGCTGTGGGGATCTGGTGAACGCCTTTGAGTTGTTTAGTGACACAGTCAAATTTGTTTTATAAAACTAAGAGTTGAAAGATAATAGAATTCATTATATTCTGTTGGTGCTTATGCACCAATATGACTTTGATCTAAGTAAAGAATATCACAACTAAAGAGAATTCCAAGTAACTTGTAGCATTATACATAGCCTACTTCACTCAAAGGTATGTCAATTCTAATAGGAGATCTGAGTCTGACCTTCAGCTCTTACGTTAAACTGGGATTTAAAAAAATTGATCAGCCATTATAGTTTAGTCAAGGAATTAAAGCAAGGCATTTTGGAAATTTTGACTTAATGAAGTAACTTTTAAGAGGAAGCTGCGATTGTGTCAAACCTGATTGATTTAAGCTTTCCTAAACTATACTGCTGAGACATCCTGTATTATCAGGGACAGAACATTGTCTGTGGCTGTTTATTCTTCTGAGGAAGGTTACTATTGGTCATACAAGCCCTTTTGTGGGGGCGGGGTAAGACTCAAGTTTTTACTGGTGGGTTGTTCTTGATTCCTCCCCTCCATCTCTTTTCCTGTTTCCTTTTATATACTCAGTTTCCTTCCCTCTCCTCCTCTCCTGAAAGTTTTGGTATGTTCCATCTTTTCTATATAAATAGAAAAAAAAAAAAAGAACTAGCTACAAGTTAATTCTAAGGGGTTTTAAGATAAATAGGCACAAGCCTTTCAGTTTCCTGTCTGTGTTGTGTCCAACAGACAGATGTGCCGCCCGTCGGTGTAGAGAGCGTTGTCCCCACCCACCAAGAGGAAACGTGTCGGAGTAATGCGAGTCCATTTTCTTTCAGCTGGTCTACAGATGCACAGCAACCAGCCAATCCTGCTGTCTCAAGGGTATCCGTACCTCAATGTCAGTTACATTCAACAGAAAAAGTGACATTTAAAGGAAAGCAAAACAAATCAGGTCCTGATTTAAAATTTTAACACGTTTAGATAGCTTATTTAAATTCTAAGACTGTTTTTAAAGGCTGTATTATTTGTATATAAATATGAAGTATAGTTTTTACTAGTATCACCAAATTGTGTGATACAAATTTCATCTATTTTATTACCCTATTTTTAAGGGAATTTTGTTTTGTTTATTAATCTTGATGAATTGTATAAAGAGAGAATTTAAAATATTACATTCTTTATTTTCTATTAGCTGTATTCATACTTTGGTTGCTTCAGACTTTATATATATTGTTCTTAAGAATTAGGAAAGACTTTCATGTGTTTTAAATTTGTCACTTCTATTCTTTACAGAAACTTGTAGTGCCAAAAACTTTTTAAAAGGTTAAAAAAATAAAATAAAACTACAACATGAAGATCCAGAACTTTTTTCTTTTACATACTTGTATACTGAAGATACTCAAACTTGAACATTAAGTTGCTTTTGTCTGTATTTGGAGTAATTCTATTTTAAGTTAATAAATCTTTTTGACAAGAGTCAAATTTGAATTTCTGGTGTTTACAGGTGATAAAAACACAGTTCAGAGATTTATTTTACTCAGTGAATGGAGTATTCTAAATCACTTAGTTTTAGAAATCCAAGGATTTTCCCATTTCCTTTATTTTCTTGGATCTTCACAATATTTATATGAAGTTGATAGAAGCAAATGTTACCTCCATTTTATCACTGAGAAAATGCAAAACAGTGAATTCCAAAGATTGAAAATGTACTTAACATTGGAAATAGAATTGAAAATACTTTTTGAAGGAGAATTTTAAATAACTGATATTGATACTGGCAAGTAGAGGAAAGACAATTCTTACTTACATGAATTAGTGTGTGCCAATTATCCTGAGGTTCTATAGTACCGTCTGAAAACACACTGGCCAGTATATTTACCATTAAAACTTGTGGTTTAGTATTATAGTTGGATTTCAAACTTTTGTTGTTGGTGATGGCACTTTTAACTAGTTTGGTACTATAAACCCAGGTACGGTCTTTTTCTCTAAATTCCTTAGAGATTTGACAGGAATTGTAGGCTAAATGATGCTATAGACTTGGAGATATGAAAAATAGATACAAATATATCTTAAGGACAGTGTTATCTTTGTTCTACTTTCTCAAACTTAAATAGGTGACTATATGGGCTCTTCCCATATTTTCTAACATGGAAGAAGCTGGAAATGTGCAGGAGGTTGAGGGGCTTTCTTGCCGTATTTACTGTCCTGAAAAGGTATTTATTAAGATCAGGTGTACATTTTGTTTGTCATATATGAAAATTTGAATATCCCTCAGAAACCTAAGTGGTGGTGTTTTCGTCTAACATAAACTTTTAGGTTAATATGACTTGGAACATTCAAGTTGTCTGTTTTTTCAAGTTTTTCATTTAAAGTTAGTATTTAAGTTATTTTATATTCCAAATCTTGGGTTACTGGTCAAATGACATGTACAAGGTCTTCAATTTATTGTCCTATCTTTGTATATACTTGAAATTTTCATTAAAAGGAAAATAATCTGCAGTAAGAGCTTGCCCCGAGGCAGCCAGCCTTCCTAATGGAAGGGCAGTACCTTATACCACCTGGTAAAAGGTATTTGTAATGACAAATAGCAGTAATCTAGGTTTTACTTTTGTTCCTTCTTCAGCAGTTGCTAGTATTCAGTAGTAACTGGCAAAATTGTTCCAAGTCGAAAAACAGAAAACTCTTAGAATTTGTACATTAGTAGGTCAGTTTTATAATTTTCAGATATATATACACTCAAGCTTTAACTATGAATTAAAATCCACTGTGGAAATTGAAAGTGCCAAAAAGAAAAATAGATCAGTCTTAAGCAGAGTACACACATACATATACATAATCATATTGTTTTGAAATGCTCTGCATGTTTAATGACATGGAAAGATGAGTATTTTCCCTTGCCATTAAAGATTATTCAAGAACATGAATATTAGGTATGTATTTGTTCAATTCCTTAAAGATGGGACATTTTTGCTGTTTCTAGTTTTCCCTTGTATATAAAAATATATATGCAAAATGGGGTAAGACTGTATATTTATTGTATTATGATGAATTACTATAAATAGTCTTGCTAGGTGAAAAGGAAAAGGCCTGAATGTTCTTCCTACATATTGCCAGATTGTCATCTAGAAAAGTGGTTACCAGTTAGCAGTTTCAACAATCTTTATGTTGGTAAAACTTATTAAAGCTTTAAGCTCCAAACAATTAATTTTTTCCTTATAAAGGACAATTTAAATATTTTCATTTTTAAAAGCATTCTATAAAATAAGTCATAAAAACACTCAAAAAGTGCCTATTGGCTAGATAATATTAATACCTGGTGAACTTTATTCTAACCCCACTGCTCTTAAACATATGATATATATATATATACATACAGAGTTACACATGAATATAGTTTGTATGCTAAGTTTTTTAATAAATTGCTTTGGATGGAAGAAAAAAAATGAAGAAATGCTCAATTTTAAAATTTTTCTGCAAGGGAATCCAAGATTCCTCCTAAAACTAAGGACAATTAAGAAAAACAAGAGTCTCAAGTCTTTTTTTCTAGCTTAATGTTTTTAGAGACAGTATGATTTCCGTTAAGATGAAACCAGCACTTGAGTTCCTTTACTTCCTGAATATTATTCCTTTGTGAAAATGTTCAGATACTTCATTTGATTATTACAGCCTTTTCCCATTATTTTTAAAACAACTTTCTTTTTGCTAGGTTCTTAATTTGATCCGTAAGTTTCTCCCCAAGCGATTATATAATTTTAAGTTCTTACACCCTTGAGAATGTCTATTCTTTTTTTAAAGGTAATTTTGGGTATAAAATCCTTAGCATTTTACTTCTTCTAGACTTTTGGAGCTTTTTGCTTCACTACTGCCTTAAAATTGTTATTGCTATAAGATCACATAGTCTTGATCCCCCACCCTCCCTTATGAGTCAGCATCTCTTTGGATGACATATAATTCTTTCTCTTAAAATTCATCAGGTTATTTTATTGCAGGAAATTTTTCTTCTATTTGAAGCCTGCTCAGTTTATGTGTATGAATAATTTTTCATGTTTGTTTTACTACCTCTGGATTTTACTATTTTTCAGTTTTTATCTCCCTTTACCTAATTTCTTGATACTTTATTTCCATTTGTGGTTTCTAATAAGGCTTTTGTTTTTCCAGTTTTTCAAATTGTTAGTTCTTTAGGTTCTCATTTCCAGTTCATTTCTTTGAATTTGTACACTTGCTTAAAAAACAAAAAAACAAAAAACAAAAAAAAACCAGAACACCAAAACAGACCACTTAGCTGTCTTGAGTTTTTACTTTTTGTTTGAGGGGGGAAAGGATGGCCAGCATCTGTGATGATTCTATTCTGATTAATGCTTATTTAAACTTAAGACAGTCTTCTAAAGAATAACTGAGCAGAGTAGAGCAATGAGTTTTAAATCGGGCTATTCTGAAAGTCAAATCCATTATTTCCTTTTCCTCTGAGACTACATCTCATTGTGCCCTGTGTAAAAGCTTTTAAGGAAGTACAATTCAAATTGTGATAGTTTAGTGGTTTGTACCCATCATTAAAAAGATATAGAAGTGGGCTCTCCTTGGTGGTGTAGCGAGTGCTTTAGTGCTGTGCTTTAGCACAGCACTAAGAAGCTAAAGCCACTTCAGCATAAGTTTGATCCCCGCCCTGGAGGTGACCCACATGGCGCAGCAGACCTCTCATGACCTGCCTGCTGCCCCCCCACAGCAGTGTACTTGTCAGTTGGCCTGTTATGTTCCCCACTCTGTCTCTGGTGAATCCTCTCACCCCTCTGCACCTCTGGCCTGCATCCCAGTTCTGTATGCATAAATAAATCTTAAAAAAAAAAAAGATAAAAGAAGTATCAGAGTGCATCCTGATAACTCATTCTGAATTTTCAGTGCATATTATGTATATATAGTAAGGATAGTAAGCTGCAGTAAAACAATGTTAGAGTTTCACAGCCTTATCCAGTAAGCTTCTACACAGATGACAGAAATGTGCAATGTTCATCTTAGAGCTTCACCTGTAATACTGTTTGTCAAAACAATCTCTAGAGAGATGTTCAGTGTGTTGCATTTACTTATCTCTTTATACTAATTAAAGAATAGGGATAATATACTTCTGCTATAGGTTGACTATGCTGCCCCATTTCGGTCCAGATTTCATATGCCCAAGAAGTTTGCCACTTTGTTTTCTGTGCTGGGAGAAAGAAGGGGTGGTATTTCTGTTACTTAAATTTTTTTAAGATAGAAATTATTGAAAACATAGTGGGTGATGACATAGTTGATCATTTGGCCCAAAGACATTTCCCTACCTAGATCACTTTGGTAGAGAATGAACTTCTAGGACTCTGCTAGGGTATTAACACTACTTACATTTAATTTGTAAAGGTAGGTAGTTCTGTTTGTAGTTATAATAACTCATGTCAACAACTTTTTATTAAAGTATTGGAAATTTTCAAAGAGTATGAAATTTCAAACATGATCCCACCATGCTTTAATATTGCTACAGAAGTCCTGCAATTCAGTAGCAAACAGAATAATGTTTATCCTATGACTTCCCAAGAAAATGAATCCTCTCTTCACAATTTTTGCTGGGACCAGAGATGCTGGAAACCATTCAATTCACATTTCCATTTTTAAAAGAGGAAAGGTAAGTATGGACAGACAGCTCAACTAGCAAAGACTCTGAACCCTCTTTAGATTATCAGTGGGCAGTTTTAAGTCCTTATTTTGCTTCTACGACCTTAGGTGCTTCACTTCTTTAATATTTCTCCTACCTTTTTAAATGGTAGTTTTTAAATTGCACTTTCTCCATTCTCCAGTGTTGGTATTGCCTATTACTTAACTGTTGATTTTTTTTTTTTTTTAACATACATGCACCCCTGGGAAATCTCATTTAATTTTACATCTTCCCAAGTTAACTAACAGTGTTATTTCAGGCCTAGATTACTATGTTTAACTGAGTCCCTATTTCCAACTGTCTGGATTTTACCTAGATACAGCATAGCTATCTCAAACTTTAAGTGCATTATTTTCCCTGCCGCCACACCTATCACTACCTTTCTAAAACTAGTCTCTTCCTGCAGTGCAATTTCTGCCTTTGTATATGGCAGTATTGTCCAGCAGTTCCAGTCAGTACTGCTGGACAATAGATACCCTTCTCTCCATCAAACTTTTAGTCTTGTTAACCCTACTGCCACTGACTAAATATGGATAATGTCAATATTTGTAAGATACAGGCTGAGCACCTTAACCTGGAATTCAAGGCCTGCGGGGGGGGGACGGGGACGACTGTAAGCATGTTGTATAAAGGGTGTTACGTCTGTTTGTTGAAGTATTAAGTACAACTGTGAATTAAATGACACAGAAGCCTTACATTTGAATGCATTCTGTCTTTACAAATCAGTTACTATCAGTTATTTTTCATGTTTATCATCACTTTGCGGACGCTGGAGGGGAAAGTAGAAGTTAATGTGTTTTACTGGTTTGATCTTTGAATGCAGCAACAGCAGCATGAATTTCGTTCGGGATTCTCACATGGGGCAAACCGAAAACTAAAGTACAGAAAAATGCAAAATGGGTATGTCAAATTTAATATAAAAAAATCAGATGGCTATAACCTTTGCTAGTCACCCATGCCTTCCAGATCCCAAATCCTTTCTGCCCTCACACATTTGAATAAATCAAGATTGGTTGTATTGCAGGGTCAAAAGCAGCCTTTGGGTAGCACTATTCCTCAAACACAGATTATGATTCAAGAAGAGATACAAAACTCAGCACCTCTTTCATTTAAAAAAGAGAATATTGGCTAAAAAACCTCATAGCTGCCTAAGAAGTGTTTCTTAATCCTTCCACACAGATGCCTTCAAATTCGTACGCTATTTGGACTAAAACCAGATTGAATCCATTATTCATTCCCTCTCCGGCTCTTCTTGTGGCTTTTCTTAGATCTGAAATGACAATACATATGTATCATTAAAGTTAATAGCTGTTAAACTAGATGAGGGCTTTTAAGGAAGACGGCATGCTAATGGGGATAGGGGTGATTCTCAGTATTAATTAAATATATTTGCTATTTTCATGTCTCAGTGCAATACTGAGTCAGATGTTGCTATCCAAAATATCCTAATGAGGAAATTACTTCTTAAGAGTAACTTCACTTAATAGTGCACGTAACACTATTTTTGGTATATGGAATTTTCTAATGGAAGTTTATCAAGGTGACTAGTCCAAAGTTTTCCTCAACTGTTAAGTGTTAAAAGTTGGGACTTAACCACCCTGGGATTGAGGCTTATGCCTTTCACCATTACCCAAAGCTGCAATCCCACAAGGAAAAACAAAACACTACAAAATATTTACATATTCTTAAATATCCCCATCAAAAAAAGTCAAGTATAACTTAGCTGCAACTTAGTACTTTAATTTCTGAGTAAAAAGTGATATTCCTAAGTTAAAATAGAGGTTAATACATACCTTTCAGGAGATTTTGAGTGACTCCTGTGTCTGTGACTACGATGATGACCTGGGGAAAACAAGGCCATTGGATGAGTGAGTCTACCTTCCTGATCCTCTGTCATTTTTACCTGCCCCAATCCATTCCATTGGCTTAATACATTTTTGTTCTATACTTGGGATAACTCTGGGTAACAGCACCTTTCTCAGCTTGGTGAGTATGTACTTGCAAATTTAGGGCTAATTTCACAAACATTTGGTTGGTATTTATCACTAATTAGGTCTTATAGTTTTAGATAAAACATCGTCATCCTACCAACAAAGCTTAGATTTGAGAATCAAGATATGAACTGTATTTCCTTTTATTCTAGGAAAAAATTTAGGTGAGAATGCCTCTATTTCAGAAGGGTTAACAACTCCTTACACATTTTTTAAGACCATCATAAGGCCCAAATGCCATACCTGGTGATTTGGAGCGGGACCTGTGTCTTCTATCTCGGGACCTACTGCGGTGTCGTCTTGGACTTTTGCTCCGATGCCTTTCTCTGCGAGGGGAGGGGCTGTAGAAATGATTAGGCAGATTTTCACGAACCTGTCTTAACATTTAGTATAGTGCCCACCTCCCAAATCTCTATCATAGTTCACAAAAGGCCTACCTCCTCCTCTTGGGAGATCGACTCCGCCTATGTGGAAAGAAAGAACAGTCTTAAGTATACTGGATGTTGGTGGATCTTAAAAATTATGTCACTTTTCAACTATCTTGTTACCATACCCTTTGTCAGGTAATTTTTTTTTAGCACACTTTGACTCCAAGCTTACAATTATCCATATTTTGGATAACTGGATATCTACAGCTGTGGTACAGACAGACCCTAGAAAAATACCTGCATAATTAGGCTGGCTAGTTCTTGAATTCTACCACTGCCATGAGAATCAGCCTAACCTAGCCTAAGGGTAAGACACAAAGTAATGAGTTGTCTCAGGCATCCCTACTGGGGTAGCCTGTACTGGCGAGACACCTGACCACACAATAGGTAAGGAATCATTTACATTAAAAAAAAAAAAAAAAAAACCCTATCCATGCTGAGCTTAAATGATGGAACACTTTTGAACTAATTTCCAGCACTGATAGTGCAGTGGTGTGGTTTCTGCAATACTTAGTATGTTGGGCAAATAAACATTCTCTACAGACTGGCACTTTCCTTCCCTGATATCTAGACTTTTAGGCTACAAGTACCTAAGACTCCCTGGAAGAGGTTAATGACTAGGGCACTACCTTCTTGGAGACCGGCTCCTACTCCTCCTATAGCGTAGTGTGGGAGAGCGCCTGGGTTTGTCTAAGTCTCTGTAGCTTCTTCGGCGGTGATCAGGTGATGGTACTCTCTCCAACTAGAAATATGATGGATGGGTCAGTAATGAGCTCAAAACTATCTAGAAACACTTCCACACACACACACACCCCCACCCCGCACACCCCCACCCCGCATTCTGTCCTAAATTCTATTTCCAGGTGATTTAAAAACAGCAATTTGAATATATATAGACAATTCCCTTACCCCCAGGCTTCCCTGGTGTTATAAGGGGTCAAGTCTCAGCACTATGAAGCTACTGGCAGACATTGCAGCACAAGTTCGGTTCCCAGCCAGGGAGCTGCCCCACATGGCACAGCAGACCTCTCTCCAGTCTAGCCAACTACCCCCTTCAGCAGTGTATTTCAGTCAAGCTGCCTGTTCCACTCCCACTCTGCCTCTGGTGATGCTACCCACCCCCCTGTACCTCTCTGGCTTGTCCCCCACTTCCTGAATGCATACATAAAACTTAAAAAAAAAAAAAAAGACACCCCTTCCCCCCAAATTGCAAGTAAAAAATATCCAGCTGCTTCCAATAGTTCCCAGTTTTGTTCTAGCTTTGGTGCCCTTATTTTGGGATTGTGCTGAGTATATTGGCAGATAAATTTACTTCTCTCAATATGGTGGGTTTTCAAAGAGAAAAGATACAGGAAGTCATGTGTCTGACCTTCTCATCCTCCTCTTCTTCCTCTTCACTGGACTCCACATCATCCATGTCCTCTTCTAGAGCACTAACCCGTGGCTCCAGTTGCTCAGCTTCCTCTAGTACATAGCGTTTCTACAGAGAACATAATGAGTTATGGAGATCTTGTTATCCATCTCTTCTATACCCAACACTTGTATTGACAAACCATGGCACAGCAACTGAAGTAATTTAATTTCAGACAACCCTAGTCCAAGGTTATTCTAAGTATTTTAACATAATTGGATTCTTTACATTCATAACTTCATAACTTATAAATACAAAACTAAGGGGAACATCTTAATTTCCTATTGTCTCTATTTCCTATGATCTAATATGTTAAAGTGTCTGAAGTATCAATCAGTATAGGGATAGCCTGCAGTAAACAGATGGACTTCATATATAAACTAGTTCAGTAAGTTTATAGCTGAGACACTATTGGCTGGTAATTTTGCCAGAAAAGGCTTAGCTCAGTTTAAGGGTGAAGTACCTTGAGTCCTGCTCTAGAGTCACATCAACTTTACTAGACCTAGGGTTAGGGAGCAGTCAATAGTCATACACTTTGAACAAAGCACAAGTTATAAAAAAAAGTCTGATTCCATTTTCTTCTGAGCTGCAGTTTAGCAGTGGTTATTGAATGACTAAGAATCTGAAAGGCAAAGTTGCCAGGTGAACTGGCACTGTCATAAGACAACTTAATCTTGTGCTAAGGATATACAAAAAATGTCCTATAGTTTGAGAATAACTAATAATACATGTATACTACTATGCTCTCTCTCCCTTACCAAAATACTATGAAGTTGGTAGAAATGAGACAAAATGCCATTCAGTTAAGTAAGTTTCTCACAAAAGAGCTTTTCAGTCAGGACCGCCACAGTTTTGATCTAGTTTTCTTGTGTTTTTTATTTATTTTTAATACCTCACATTTTAAATACTTTGCCTTTTTTCCCTTTCACTCCAATCCCTTTTTCATAGACACTAATTATTAAAGGAATTTTCTCATGGGGGTGTCAGTGTTTTCTTGTGTATGTTTGTCTGACTGCCTGTCTTAGCAGGAAAAAGGGTGACTTTGATAAGACCATTATTTCTTACCTGTAGCCGTGGCAGAATGATATCACAGACTCTCTCACTGTGCAGCAGTTCATCAATAAACTCATCTACATGCATCAGTTCAAACTCTAAAGAAAAGTCACAAGCTCAGGCAACTTGGAAATAGATTTAGATAGCCAAAACAAAAGATTCTCTCTCTATGTAACATGTCTACTAAGTACTTGGTATACAAAGTATTGACTCTCTTCCGTTTGCCTTCCCTGCACATTCACTAGTTAGAATTATTGCAATGTGGCATTTATACAAAAGGGACTTTTGTCAAACTTGGACTCAGACCACAACTCTTCTTTTCCTAGCCTTATCACCATCTATTTTCATTTATTCAGTTCATATTTACTGAGGCCATCTATGTATCAGCCTGCTACAGGCCAGGGAGTAGGGGATGAATGAAACCGTCTCGATTAGCAGGAGAAACAGAAGGAACACATTGTATTTCTGAAGACAGAATTAAAGTTTCTATGATACATGGAGCAATAGCTTTTGGAATTTCTATAATGAATACTTTATTACATGAGGGGTTTCCAAGGGTGATTTTGGCCACTCCCCACAATATTCATACCTCCATTACGGTTCTGGCTCTTGATTTTTCTGTAGTCATTATACAAAGGCTCCAAGTACTTGTAGCAATCAATTGCAGTGCCTGTCAGCCTCATGTAAAGTGCTCCCAACATGCGGACATACCTGACAAATACATAACAATGAGGCAATGAATGGGCCATACAAAGTAATTCATGAGTTTATAATTCTTCTCAATAATGTTTGTATTTTGAAGAAAAGCTGCCATCTTAGAGGTAGAATGGCCAGAAGAAAGATAACTAGAATACTGAGACTTCGGTTCAGATTTCCATTCTATCACTTTGTGCCTGTGGAAACTTGCAATACACTTCTTAATAGACTTAATAGCTCACAGCACATAGTGTCTAATAAGAGTTAGCTATATCCTAACCATTAATGTTTTATAAGATTTTTTTTCTCTTTTCTACATCCAACCACCTGTTCAACTCTCCACTTCGATAAATTATTAGGCATCTGAAATGCAAAGCTTCTTTACATGGTAAATTATATAGCAAAGAATATGGGATTCTGAAGTTAGTTTTGCCACTTGCAGTTTGACGTTGGGGAAATTACTCCCTCTCTGTCTAAATTTCCTCCCATGTAAAATGAAGATAATTTTATAGACTTATTGGTGAGGAGTAAATAAATTTTATCTTTATGTAAGCCCTTTAGAACAGAACATTGCACATAATTATTTCTACCGCCTGTATTTGTGACTCTGAGAATGGAGTTAAAAATATTAAGAGCAGCTGACATGTGGTGGGTGTTTACCACATAACAGGCACTATGTTATGAGAGGCAAAGAATTATCCTTTTTAGCCCTCACATCAATACTTAATTGGTAGTATTGTCTCCATTTTACAGGTAATGAGAAAAAAATTAACTTTTTCAGGATCACAGTTAATAAGTAATAGTGTCTGGCATATGAATTTAACACCAAAGTTTTCCCTCTCAGTACATTATTTTGTTTTCGTTACCCCTGCAAGCCCACTGTTAACCAACCCATATAAGTATTCACTTCTGCTTAATATATTTTCAGTGAGGCTATGAAATAGCATTTTTGGGGAAAAGTACCAAGACTTGAAAAAGAAGATGATCAATAAAATTAGAAAAGACCACGACTTGAGCAAAATCCTACAGTGGAACACATTATGGAAACAAGATATTGTTTTCACCGCTCTTAACCAACACCAAATTCTGGAATGAATTGGAAATGAAACTTTTCATATTAGTCAATATTTCACTCACTTGAAGTCTTCATTTTTGATAAACTCTACAATGATATCCTTCTCTGGCTGAATCTGAAGCATCTTCAAGGTCAAACACAGAAAGGGAGTTGGCTTTATGTTGCCACCATAGACGCCACCCACAAACCTTAATTCCATGGCTTTATCTACTACAAGTTCAGCTAGAAAACAAAACAAGAGTAACATCTCAGACATGTTAGGTAAGGTTGAGTTTAAGCAGTGAGATGTTATTTCAAGGCTAACTGTTCAAGAATACTCATCTACAGTTTACTACAAGGAACACAAATATGTATGTGTAGTAGTAGTAATAATGGCACCCAGGATAGACCTAAGGATTATGTCAGGTACTCTACTAAGCATTTCATATTATCTAATTTAATCCTTATAATAAACTATTAAGTAAGTACTATCATCCCTACTTTCAGCTAAGAAAAATGAGGTCGAAAAAAGGTTAAATGACTTGCTCAAGGTACAAAAGTCAGAAAGTAGCAGGGCCTGGATTTAAATCTAAGCAGTCTTCAAAGTTCATGATTGTCCCCATCATGTAGGGGAAAAAACTGCCAGAGTAAGAATTATAAGAAACAAAATAGTAAATCCTTAATAGCTTTATAAAGGAGCAAACGTCATCTACAGAATGGGGAAAACCACCTTCCAATGTGTCAAACACTAGCTCTAGGGACTAAGGCAAATCATCTCTCCTTTAACCTATCAGTTCAAATTTGAATAACAAAGGTGGTTGGCTCAAGGGCTATCATGAGAATCAAATGCAACAATACAATTATTAAGAACTGGATACAACAAATAATAGCTATCATTAAGGGAAAGTGACTCTATGAGCCAGTCAACATAGTTGACAACATACGACTAATAACTTATAGTCAGAAGTTAAGAACGTACCAGAGCTACAAGCACAAGGGTAAAGAAGAGGGATGCAATTATTATTATGGACTTTACAGTGCGGCAAAGCCTAAAGCACTGAAATTTACGAGTAGTTGAAAGAAACTACAGAATGCAATGAAAATACTTCACAAGAGAACATAATCTACTGTTAGGCAGTGACTAGTGTCAGAAAAAACTGACAGTATGCTAAGACTTGAGTTCATAGAGTAAGTTCAAGAGGTCGCTTTTGAACCAAGTTAATTTGCATGTCTGGTAATTAGAGTTTTGGATTTCAGGGAGAGATTTGGGCTAGAGATAAATTTGAAGGCATCTATATATAATGTAACTGATATGGTGATAAAGGAGAGAACTATGGAATGAGAAATGGGCCCAAAATTAAATCTTACATGACTCCATGTAATGGCAACTCAGGTAAACAATATGACTCATCCAGAGAAGACAATGGTGGTGGCAATAGTAACAGCACAGGAATGACTAACAATGAAACAACTAGCACCACCGTTATCACTGATTACTGAAAACTTTTTAATTAACATATACTTTTAACTATACCAAACACATTTTACAGATGATTGCATTAAATCCACAGAACAACCACTTAAGGTCGATGCATTATTTAGAATTGCTTTACAATAAAAGTAGCCATGATTGGGGTGACAGAGCTTATTAAAAAGGAGAACCAAAAATCAAACAGAGATGGAAGACTAACTGGAAAACTTCTCTGAATAACTACTACTTATAACAGGACCCGAATGTGGACTTGGTTTCGGGCATATTGACATCCTTTTAGTACGATTAGGGTCCCTTAATTTTAACTTTTTGGGATCCAGCATGTTCTCATTAAACATGGAATGACTCCAAGAAACCGAGACCCTTCGGAGTAAGAACGCATCAGATTCATCTACTTTCCCAAAACCCAACACATAGTAGGTGATAAGATTTTTCTGAATGGCTGACATTCTCCTCTCCAACCCTCTCCGCAGGGGCCAGTCCCACAACGGGCAGTTAGGGGGAATTAGGTCATTGGGTGGCCGGGGGTCCGCGCACTCCTGCTCACCTGTAAGTCCGAAGCACTCTTCTTTCCAGTATTTGGACTCATAGATTCGCGTTCGAATGATCTTCTCCACCAGGTATTGAGGGTTGGTGCCGTGGATGCTGTGCGCATCCTTCACCGTACGGTTCGCCATTTTAGAATGCTTTCAGTTCTATTTCCGTCGAGTCCTTTAATACGTCACACCCAGACTTTAAAAAAACGAAGAGGGATGGAGAAAACTAAATAGTTTAGGCGACCATCTTGAAACCGGAAGCTGCTGCGTAAGGAACTTCCTTTCGCAAACGGCTCCGCCAACGGAACCAATAAGGCCTGTCATCTATGTGACTTCCGCCGCACGGTGACCGACGGATGTCACGTGTCTCCTCTGAGGTGGGCGGTGCGTGCGGGTTGGCTGGTGATGGAATGTAGGGACCGCCCGGGGGCGGGGCTACGACGTTTGGCGCGAAATTTTTTCATTTTCTTTTGGTTCCAAATGAGGCGCTTGCTTTGAGTCCTGCGCGCGGCGACTGTGAGAAGAGTCCAACTGGGGCGAGTCAGAGTTTCTGCAGCACCTCAAACTCCTGGAGCGGAGGTTCGGGAGCGGAGGGCTTGCTCCTAGCTCTGGGAAGGCTCGGTGCAGCGTGAGTGGGGCCATCGGCGGGAAGGAGGGGGACCTGAGCCGCTAGACCTGAGGAATTTCTCCGGAAACTTTTGGTCATTAATTTATTCTGCATCTGTTAACTAAGCGCCTGTAAAGTGCCAGGCTGCTCTGAACCCATTAGCAGCGTTTCTCTTTTCTATATCCCGATCCTAAACGGTTTCCCGCTCCGCCAGGGATTGAAACTGCTGTGGGGAAGCCGGAAGCCAGCGGCGGGGACGCGTGAGCATTCCTGCCTTAGGCGCCCTGAGACTGTCTGTGATGACCTTAAACCATCCCTTCTGATTTCATTGGCCTTGTGAGGCATTCGCCTCTTTTTCTCCTTTCAGCTGTATTGTAGGTAGCACCACCTGGCAGGCGGAGCAGAATTATTATTCCATTTTAGGGTTGTAGCTATTACGTCCAGAAGGAAACTTGTGCTTATGTGACTAAGCATCAGGGTTTTTAGTGCCATCTTTTCCCATCCACCTTCTTACCTAGGCGACAACTCTCAGGGCGCCTCTTCTGCTTGCTCTAGTCTCACTCCAGAATAGAAAGGCCTTCTGTTTTGACACTTGGAAAAGAATCAATGAATATAGAAACAAGAGATGCTAGATTCTTATCGTGGGTAACGGTGAAACTGCTGTAATTATTAGTAGATATGTCAGATATGTAGTTGTCTGTAGAAATGCTACCCTCTTCCTTGTTTTTGCGTGCCCTTAGAAGTTTCCTATGTGAGAGCATGGTCTTTGCTAAGTCCCGCTTAGTATTTAACATAACAGAGGGAAATATGTGGACTTTACAAGGCTTATGAATACCCAAAAATTAAAATTAAATCATCAAGTAATTTAACATAACAGAGGGAAATATGTGGACTTTACAAGGCTATGAATACCCAAAAATTAAAATTAAATCATCAAGTAATTTTAAGAAAGCAAAGCTACTGTCCTTTAGAAAATGATGTAAGGGAGTGAGGAAATGCATTTGCCATTTTGATCTTACTTAATCCTCAATAATCATAGGATATTATCTGCACACAATAGTTAATTAATAATTATTGGTTAAATAAGAGGAAATTTCTGTTATCTCCATTTTGTGGTAAAGAAAATCGAGGACCCTTTTACCTCCATCTGTGACTGGGAAGCCTGACATTTAATAAGCAGTAGAAGCCCTCTTGGGCTTATATTAACATTATCCACTTGTACAGCCTTGGGGAGAAAAGAAAAAGTACCTCCATAGGCTTTACTCCCTCAGCGTTTGAATTAAGGTTGTGCCATCCTATGCAACATTGGGACAAATTACTACCTTTTAATGATAATAATGTTTACCTTTCATTCAGTAAATATTTATTATTGAGTACCTGCTATGCTCTTAGTGTATACTAATATTTTAGAATTTGAGAATTCAGTGAGATAAATATAATACAGTTTTGGTTTCATCTTTTGTCATATTGGCTCAGTAAACATCTGCTATCATTATTTTTAGTATAACTCCTTTATCTTTTATTCGGGTGGAGTCTTTGACTGGGTGGTGTGTACGTTCTAGATTTTGGTATCTGTGGGACTGAGAGCCGGTAGTGGGTATCTTACAGGAACCAAAACCTTTTCGAAGTCTAATCAGACCTGCCTCTCACTGAATTCATAGTCTTTCTTGGAGAATCTGTTAGTGGAATATGACATGAAATTCTGAGTTGACTGAGGTAGCAATACAAATTATAACTGTTATGTTGCCTCTCCAGAAGGACTTCTAATTTTTTTTAATTTCATTAAAGAATAACATACATTTAGAAAAATGTACAAATCATAAATGGATAGCTCAATGAGTTTTATTAAAGAGAATACCTGTAACCAGTATCCAGGTCATAAAACATAACCAGGTTCACAGAAACACACTATTCCCAGTCATTCCCACTTTATTTCCAACATTCATGCCCAATAACCTAGATTGCCTTCTATTTTAACTTCTAACATCATAGATTATATTTACCTGTTTTTGAATCCTGTAAATGGAATCAGTTTATAGCAGAAAAAAAATTTAATTTTTAAATTCTCATTATTTTGTGATTCCCCCTGTGTTGTTGGGTGCAGTTACCATTGATTTAGTTTCATTGCTGAATAATAGTATTCATAGTACTATGAATGTTTTGGTTCATGTCTGCTGATGAAATTTTTCTGTCAAGTGTATTCTGTTGGAATTATTGGGTGATTCCATAAATAAAATATATGTCAGCTTTGGTAATTACTGCCAGTTTCCCAAAGTGGTTTTGCACTAGCAGTGTATGAGACTTTTGATTACTCCGTGTCCTTACCACACTTGGTTTTATGCTGGTGGTTTTTGGAATCTGTTCATTTATTCATTTAGTCACTTAACCTATAGTGCGCCATATTCTGACCTGGGCCTTGGCGATGCAATTATGAACAAGTTAGACAAGGTCCCAAGATTCCCGCCCTTTTGAAAGTTAACATTCCAGTGTGGGAAACATAATCAACAAAATAATATAAAGTTATTGCTTTGATAATAGGGTGGTGTAATGCATGGAGGGACAGTGAGAGGAAGAGAAAGAGTTTTCTATTGCATATTAGTGAAGGCCTTTCTGAGGAAATTTCATTGCAGTTGAGACCTGAGCCATCCCTGCAAAGATACACAGTATGAGAGAATAGGTCTGCCTATACCTGAAGGCAAAAATAACATTGGTCTGTTTGAGGCCTGGAAAAGCAGACCTAGAGCAGAGTCATAGACCCAGTTGAGGCAGAGTATTTCGTCCAGGCCCAGGTAATCTTCCTTCTGATACCCAGGTAGGAGTGAATTACTGACCCTTGTGCACATGTGTGCATATACTGGTCTCATTTCACATTGTTCGTGGTCTTCTAGAAAAGGAAGGTTAAACTTTATTTGGGTTGGATTTTGAAAGAAGTTCCAGCTTTTAACTTCATTAAAAGTTAATGATCTGGATTTATGAGAGTTGAGAGTATATATTATCCATCCCCTTGGTTATATATAAGGACCTTACCTTACAAGTATGGAGATCAATTTTTGTTTGAAAAATCATGGTATCTGTATAATCAAATATCATCAAAGTGACAAATCAGGCCATACGGTTAAATTATTCAAGAATTATAAAAGGTTTGCTGAGATACACTAATTTGCCACATAGCACTGTCAGTGGTACTCTGATTGTTTAATTGACAGTTTTAAGTGAGTATTGTGATTTATTTGTACCTTTTGTCTGTATGACCATAGCTTATTGCATAATTTTATTGTAGAAAGGCAGAAAATTCTGTGTTTACTTTGGACAGCTCCGTGTTACATCATCCAGTAAAAAGAACACCTATTGAAGGTAAATTAGTGTTTTATGTCTCTTCAATGTTAGGATACAAACGCATTTACTAATTTTTACCAAAAGATTATTTTGGGTATTATGAAAACTATTTTATTTTTCACTTGAGCACAAGTCTTATACTTATTTTACTCATTAATCAAACAATAAAAAAGGCAGAATATCTTATGGGCCAAAATATTCCCAAATAGAATGTAAGTCTTAGGTCTACTGAACTTTAGGAAGCCAGCTTGTTTAGTAAGATAGTTATAATGCTATTTTAATTTTTTTTTAAATTTATTTATTTATTCATACAGAACTGGGTTACAAGCCAGAGGTGCAGGGGTAGTGAGAGGATTCACCAGAGACAGAGTGGAGAGCAGAACAGGCAGGTCAACGAAGTATCTGTCAAAGGGCACAGCAGGCAAGTCAGGAGAGGTCTGCCACGCTATGTGAGTCACCTCGGGGGCCACAGCTGCAGCCAGCTTACAGTTCTACATCCTAACCCATTGCGCCACCAGGGAGGGCCCTAATTCAGTTGTTTTTTTAAAGATTTATTTATTTATTCGTACAGAACTGGGGTACAGGCCAGAGATGCGGAGGGTGAGAGGATTCACCAGGGACAGAGTGGGGAGCAGAACAGGCAGATCGATGAAGTACACTGTTAAGGGGAGCAGCGGGCGGTTCAGGAGAGGCCTGCCTGCCATGTGGATCTCCTCTGGGGCAGGCGGGAATCAAACTCATGCTGAAGTGGTTTAAGCTTCTTTGTGCTGTGTTTTACCCTGCTGCGCCACCAGGGAGGGCCCTAATTCAGTTGTTTTTTAACAGCGACTGAAAATACCAGTCATGTTGCCTGCACCTACTAAGTACTTCTTAATTTTTTGTAGTTTCTTTTCTTACATATTGACCATCCATTTTCCTTAACTAGGAATGTACACATATAGTATTAAGTTGCCTATGTTCCTCCTTCATAGAATTTGGTTTTTTCCTTAAAGGAAATATTTTCTCAGCTGAAATATGCAGGGCTATAACCAAGACAGAAAAGAAAGTTGAATTCATTGAATGCAGGGACTATGTCCTGGAATTAACCGGAGTATTGTCATGTTAACGCATAGTTAATGACTTTTACACAGGAGCCATGGCATACTACTCTACAAGGCTGAAGACCAGACAAACTTACTCTTGGGTTGGCAGGCCACTGTTTGATCAGAAACTGCAATATCAAACTTACAAGTAAGTGATATAGTCTTTTGATTATCCTGGAAATGTAGTTTCTCTAAGCTCAAATGTTAGTAACTTTTATCTAGTTATTACAAGTTGAGGATTGAAGGACAGTACATATGAATTGACTGTAAAGAGGTCTTTGTTTAATTCAAGATGGTAGCATAAATATAGCACATAATAATATAGGAAGAAATAATATCAGGTTAATAAAATTTGATATGTATGATGTTATATTTATTTAAGGTAGATTGTGTGTAATACATGATAACAGAGTGTGATCCTCTCTTAGAGATCACTGGAACAGTTTGATAATATTGGCAGCTTTCATGCTTTGTCAAGAACTGAGAGAAGTTAGGACTTATATTAAGGTCTCTACAGACATTATGCTAAAACAACTCCTTCAACCCATTTCATCTATTCTTGAATATAACTGAGTGAATTGGTTTCCCAGTAGAACTGTAGTAGAGAGAAAGGACTTAGGGGATTTTGCAGTTGGAGAGCTCTTTGTCTATGCCTAGAGGGTCTGAAGAGGTTGGCCCACCTTTAATTTTGTCCTAACATGTTCCTTTTGTTAATTCCTAGAAAAATTAGCATAAAAATGGAAGGTTGTTCATCTGAGATTCATATCCAAGTTGGACAGTTCGTGTTTATTGAAGGAAATGATGATGAAAATCCATATGTTGCTAAATTGGTTGAATTATTTGAAGATGGTGAGTTGGGGGCTGGAGTAAAAACCATTACTTATAACGAATGTGGCTAGGTAGTAGGGAATGTGTACAGGTGCTATTTCATATGTTCTCAGCAGCATTTGAAATGTGAACTCTAAATTTTCAGCTAGGGTTGTACTTAACTATTCCCTCATCCACCTAGTAAACTTCTTTACTCACTAGAGCAGTAATGGGTAAAATGGGGCTGAGAGCTCAAGAGTGGGGGGTGAATGACCTGTACACCATGATTTTTGGAACTGAGAAAGGATTAATTCAGGAAGAGGGGAGAGGACAAAAATAGGTAATTTGCACTACAATAGATATTTCCTTTAATTTTTTATGACTTTATTGACTAATTTGCAATGTAACTTACTTACAAAGAATAATATAAGTTAGCTTGGAAAGCTATATCTGTTGTTCAGGTAGGAAAACAAGAGCATTTTCTTTGGTATTTTACCCAGCGAGACATGTGTATAAGTGTTTAAAAGATTAGAGGAACAGAAGCTGATCTTTCCCAGTGACTGTTAAGTACAGAAAGCCACTACAACCTCTAAGAGCAAAAATCAACAACAGTGTTGGCTGGAGCCTAACAGTACACTCTCACAGCCTCAGCTGACTTTCTGAGTCTTTAATCCAGTTCAACAAAGTGCAGGAAAGTGGAAATAGGGCAAAGCTCCAAAACAAAAAAAGAAAAAAAAATTGAAACGACACCAAACTGAATCTTCCAAAAGCTAAGAGAAGATTGGCATTCTAGTTAGGTGGTACTCTGACACTGTAGATATCTAAAAGAAGGAGCTGATGAGTAAGTTTAAGAAATGTTTCCATTTCAGACATAGTAAAGATAATTGACAAGTATAGATGAAAATCTCATCAAATTAACACCCACTAGGGGGAGCACCTCACTGCAGTGTGGGCTTTTGCATCCCAAGCATGGGCTTTTTGTGTATAGATTTTAGTTCTTTTTTAGTATAGATTATAGTTCTTGTGTGGTCCTCTACTGGGTGGCTTCAGTCTTTATCTGGTGAGAGTAAGAAGAGAAGAGTGATGATGATATGATGATGATGGACTAAAAGTATGTGTCCTTTTACTAAGCTGATAGTCTAAAGCACTGTTAATGATACATTATAGTGAAAAAGTTGAAGGTTGTAAGCTCAGTTAGCTAGGAGTCAGCTTAGTGGCCAGTGCTCTGATTCTTGCTAGAATTTTTGTTTTGCTGCTGTTTGATACCTTTTTGATATTGATTTACAAGATTTATTCACTGCCTGTCATTGGAATTGCTTCTCTCAAACGCCATTTGTAATTTTTGTGATGATCGATAGCACTATTAGGAAGTGGAGCAAAGTGAGAAGAGTGTGGGTGCTAAAATGGCATCAGAGTACTGCTGGTTGGTCCTGTGCTTTGGCAAATAATGTAATGTCCCTATAACTTGATTACTTTGCCTGTAAAAGGGTGAGACATCATCATACCTACCTTGTAGGATGATTATAAGGATTACAGAAAATATGTTAAGTATTAGGTTTTTAGCACAATGTCTGGCACATACGGAATTTTTTTTTTTCTTATGCATAGGTATAGGCCAGAGGTGTGTGTGGGGGGGGAGGTAAGAAGATTTACCAGAGACAGAGTGGGGAGCAGAACACACTGCTGAAGGGAATGGCGGGCAGATCAGGAGAGTTCAACCGCACCATGTGGGTTACCTCCCTGGCTGGGGATTGAACTCATGATATATTAGCTGTGATAACTTCATAGTGCTGTGCCACAGAGGGCCCACATAGGAAATGTTTAATAAAATATTCTTGCATTCCCTAAACTTCCTCTTTCCTCCTTACCCCTACTAGACTATGAACCTTCTTCCAAGAAACGTGCTCGAGTACAGTGGTTTATCCGATTTTGTGAAATTCCTGTCCATAAACAAAAATTGTTGGGCCGGAAGCCTGATGCACAGGAGATATTCTGGTATGACTGCCCTGCCTGTCCCACCAACATTAATGTCGAGACCATCATTGGCCCTGTACAGGTAGGTGTTCTATCTTGAAACTTACTTCTGTCTACCTCGTAAACTACATGATAGTGGCTTTCGAAGACAGTACCTCTAATTTACTCTGCAGAAATGAATTTTTTCCTGTTTGTCATCTCTGCTTGTCTACCTACTTCATCTCAACAAATCTTTACTGAAACCATTTATGATGTGTTAGGAGTCTCCTAGAGGAAGTGATATTTAGGGTGTAACCTAAGGTATGAGACCTAGGTTTCGAGACCAAAATTTCTCAAGCTGCTTCATGTCTTCATTTTTAGATTTCATCATGAGTGCTTTATAGTCATATGGTCATTGATTTAATGTATGTTGGAGAGACTGGGCTAGCGTGACAATGCTGAGATTGTTTCAGTTTGTGGCTCCAGCACATTTTATTTGCCATTAAATAATTTATTTCTGAGTAAAATGAGTGAATAAAGAAAAGCAGGTGTAGAAGTTGAAGTAGCAGGTTAGGTAGATTTGGAAAGGCAGAGGGGAGGTGTAGGAGGAGTCAGGCAGGATGCTGAGGTTGGGATTAAGCGGGACTCTGACAAGCCATGCTCCATAGTGATACAGCCCTTTTTGAGAAAAGTTACATACTCAGAAGAGAAAAATGGAACCAGGTTTTTTAGAAGGCATTGAAAATCAGCTTAAGTAATCTGATCCTATGCTAATGGGGAACCATAATAGACTATCTAGAAGGGAAGCAGGCCTGATAAAGTTTTGCTGTGGGAGAATTTGGCATGCATGAATAGAATAGACTAGAAAAGAAAGCATAGTGGAGCATGGATATAGGTGAAAGGAGTCTGTAGAAATAACCTGTGCCATCTCTGTGCCTTTTTAGTTTAGAAAAGAAACATCCCAGGCACAGATACAGACTTAAGTGCTTTTTGATCACAGCTTCCATGGAGCATTCCTTGGCTCTTTTGATCCTTATTTGTCCCTCTTCATCTACATTTTCTGAATTTAGGTAGTCGCTTTAGCCCCAGATGAGGTGATGCCTGTGGACCTGAAAAATGAGAAGACATTCTTTGTGAAGCTATCTTGGAACAAGAAGACGTTCATACCACTATCCCCAGACTTATTTGCAGAGTTGGATAAGCTACAGGAAGGGAGCCCTAGATGCCAGAAGCTCACGGGGACCAAGAGTAAGGGCATAGAAATCCCCTCTTGGATTGCAAGCCAGCGTGTTGTCAAAAGCATTGAATCAAAGCATTCTGCCTCCAAGTGTCGCCATACTGCTTCCCATCCTGTTACTCCTAGGGCAAGGAAGAAGCTAGAACTCAACAGTAAGTATGAAGTGGGAAAAGTGGACAATACTGAGATTTAAGGAATATGATAAAATATTAATCCATGCCACAGGGTCATGTTAATGGGCCAGGGTCATGTTAATAGACACATGTTGAAATATATGTAACAAAATTTACCACTTTCATCATTTTTGTGTATAGTTAATTGTCATTGGGTTCATTCACAGCGTTGTACAGCCATCACATCTTCTTCTAAAATGGAAACTAAAACCATTAAAGGATAACTTCTTGTTCCCCATCCCTCATCCTTTTACTTCTGTCTCTGAATTTAACAATTCTAGTTACTTCATATAAGTGAAATCATTGAGCATTTGTTCTTTTCTGATGGACTTAAATTTCAGTTAGCATAATGTCTAACTAATATCTAGCTTAAAACTGCTGAATTTATATTGATAATTCTGATTTGTAGCTACAAGGTTTCTCATGTCTTCATATAATTTTAGTGAGTGAATTAATTTATAAAGAAGTTGGGGGTGTTGTTGGAAAGATGGTAGTTTGAATTGTAGAGATGGTGTATTGAATTGGAATATGAATTAATAAGAATAATTATGACCTGTTGAATGAAGAGGAGTAAGCCATCTAGATGGGGTAGACAGGTAGCTTCCTCATCATCTATGCTCCCACATTGGGAAGTGAAAACCCCAAAGTTGTTTCAATGGAAGGCCCAGTTTCAGTATGCCCACCGAAAGGAAGTAATTACAAGTTGTATTACTTACAGATAGATCCCAGAGGGGCAAGAAGATGTTGGCCCCCGAAATGAGCCATGGGGAGGACAGTCCTCAGCCCCAAGTCATGAACGACCAGGAGATAAATAGCAAGTTACCAATTACTTATAATGTGATTGGGACAGAAATCACTCATTTTTCATGGGTTTTATTCTTGTTATTTTAAATGTACCCTGGGGAAAACAAAACAGGTACTGATGGCAGGAATTTTAAGCTTGGGTCCTCTCTAAATGTCTAGACTTCAATTAATGGGATTGTCATATTATAAATCTCCTAGGTAGCAACTCAGAAAGACAAAAGTTTTTTCATCATAGCTCTTTATATACTGGTTATAAAATTGGTATGTTGTCTGTGTGATTTCTCTTGGACTTAGGTCTCCTTAGGACACCTAACACTAGGAATTCCCAGCAGACTTCAGGGACTTCAGGGGATTCTCCTGGAAGAACTAAACGGAAAGTGACTCTCTCTGAGGTTACCTCACCTTCTAAGAGGCCTCAACCAGATGGACTTCAGATCTCATCCTCAGTTATGAAAGCCCCAGAGAATACTGGAGATATGCGACACTCTTGTACAGAGAATGACAAGAAGATTTCACATGAGTGTCACATGACCCTGAGAACTAGAGTGCCAGCATTGAAAATCCCAGATATTAGTGAAAATATAACACTTACTCCTGTTGGACAAGGTCGGACATCTTCAGTGGTACCTTCTGTGATTCCGAAACCAGAAGACAGAAAAAAGAGGTGATGGGCGGAACTCGCTCTGTTTTCCACTGAGCAAATCAAAACCCTTCACAGATGTGAAATAATAGCAAATAAGCTTAGAGCAGCAGGGTACAAATCTGTCACTGGTTAGCTTTTCCAAATCAGACTACATATGTTCTCCTATATACATTAAATCATTTCTGACTGCTTATAATACCTAATATTATGTAATGGCTATATAAATACATATATTCTATTGTTTAGGAAATAATACCCCAAAATCCTCATGTAGAATGTGGGTGTCACATCATAGTTTTAATTATATATAGTATGCATTTTTGATCCAAGTTTGGTTAAATCCATGAAGGTAGGGTCTATGAATAAGGAGGATAGACTGTATAGGCTTTTTTCTTTTTTAAAGATTTATTTATTCATACAGAACTGGGGTACAGGCCAGAGATGCGGAGGGTGAGAGGATTCACCAGAGACAGAGTGGGGAGCAGAACAGGCAGATCGACTAAGTACACTGCTAAGGGGAGCAGCAGGTGGGTCAGGAGAGGTCTGCCGCACCATGTGGTCACCTCTGGGGCAGGTGGGGATCGAACTCACGCTGAAGTTGCTTAAGCTTCTTAGAGCTGTGCTGTAACCTGCTGTGCCACCAGGGAGGGCCCTGTTTAGGCTTTTTAGCAAAACGTAATTAACTGCTTCCAAAATAGTTGTAAAAAGAATAGGAGGTGGTCAGGGCACACAGTACCTCTAGTTCCTGTGCTGATCTCTAGTGTAGTGCCCACTTTCTCCCATAACCTTGTGATATCTTGCAGGGAGGCTAAAGAACCAGAAACTCAGAATGAAGCTGTTACCACTCCCCATCGTGTCCGCAGGAAGAGTTCCCTCTTGACTATGAACCGGATTAGGCAACAGCTTAGGTATGGCTGGCTGCTCCTCAACAAGTAGAAAAATATTTGTCACTTAACAACTATGATATCTATAATTTAGTTCTTAAAGTCTCTTGTATTGTTTATTTGCTGACCCATTGCAATTTGGCTTTTACCTTGTATGCATGGAATTATATAAGAATTTCATGTGAATACCACAGTTCAAAAGGGCAAGAAATATTGACCTGGGCATCAGTGTCTCCCAGCTTCCCCAAGTCCTCCCCTCCAATGGCACTGTTTATATGTGCCAAAAACTATGCATTAAACTTTGGTTCTGACAGACTTGGATGAGCTTTCTCATTTGCCATCTACATAACTGTAGGGAGATTACTTAATCTTTCTTATTCTGTTTCCTTTTCTATAAAGTGCGGAAAATAAGATACTAGTGTTGAGGGGGTTTAATGATATTTATTTGTTTTTTTATATAAGAGCTGGGGTACAGGCCAGAGGTGTGGGATGGGGAGGATTCACCAGAGACAGAGTTGGGGACAGAATAGGTCTAAACAACTAAAATACATAGCTGAGGAGATGTCTGCTATGCCATGTGGGTCCACTCCCTGGCTGGGTTTGAACTCATGCTGTAGTAGCTATTGATAGATTCATAGTGCTGAGACTTTAACTCCTAACTACCTGGGGAGCCCCTAATAAGATGATTTAAATAAAAGCCCTCAGTAGAGATTCTCAATAAGCAGGCACTTAAGAAGGGCACATATCCATGTTAGTTGGTTTTATGAGAGACTGTAGTACCTCTAATCTGCACTGATCTGTCAAGGAGCTGCTTCTATAGATTTCAGACACTGAATATCAGATAGTAATGTGACTCACTATTAAGGTTTTTAGGTAATAGTAAAAATGAGCCAGAAGAGAAAGAGTTCCTGCCAACAGCAGAGACTTCAGACTCTGACAGTGAGGAGGAAGAGGCTTCAATATCACCCCTTCCTAGAAGAATATCCAGAAACCTTCAGTCTTCCACAAAGTCATCCTTACAGACCCCCTGCAAGACACCAAAGAAAACCGTAAGATTCTTTTAGGTTTATTTTCTAGTGAAACATTGCTCTCTAAATTTAAAAATTGTAATAATGGAGGTCATAACACTAGTAATAGCTATACTCAGGTCTGTGATAGTTATTCCTCTTGCAATATTCATCAAAGAAAGAATCTGAGTGAATCTTAGAACTGAAAATAAATCCAGTGATTTCTTGAGTTCAAGTTCTTTTTAAGGCAAAGAATGAAGTGACTGAAAGCTAAACATCCTGAGGGAAGGACAAGAACTGACTCACCTTTGCATTTCCCACAAAAGCTACAGAATGCTTTGTCTGTAATCATTGCTTAGAAGGCACTGAATCAGGCTGCTGATCACATTGTTGGTTTTAAACCAATTAGTATATCCGAGGGTCAGGAAGGATGCTGAAGTATTTGTAACGGATATTGGTATGATAGAAGAGATAAATAACTGGAAGTTTCTTCTGCATCTTACAGAACTTTAACAGAATATTGAAAACCATTAAGAGAGTTAGTGTGTTTGAAAGATTTTTTTTTTTAAGATTTACTTATTTATTTGTTCATACAGAACTGGGGTACAGGCCAGAGGCTCAGGGGCGGCGAGAGCCTTCACCAGAGACAGAGTGGGGAGCAGAACAGGCAGATCGATGAAGTACACTGCTGAGGGGAGCAGCAGGCTGGTCAAAAGAGGTCTGCCATGCCATGTGGTCACCTCCGGGGCAGGCAGGAATTGAACTCATGCTGAAGTAGCTTTAGCTTCTTAGTGCTGTGCTTTAACCCGCTGCACCACCAGAGAGGGCCTAGAGATTTTTTTTCTGAAAATTTACTTATGAATACAAGAGTGGGAGTGTAGGCTAAAGATGCAGGGGTACAGGAACTGGTGAGAGAATTCACGAGAGACAGAAGGGAGCAGAAAAGGTAGATTAGCTGAAATACACTGCTGAGGCAAGACAGTTAAGGTCTGCTGTATCGTGTGCGTCAGCTCCCTGGCCAGAAATCAAACTCATGCTGCAGTGGCTGCCGATAGCTTGATAGCACTGAGACTTAAACCCTTGTGCCATCAGGGAAGCCCCTTGAGAAATGTTTTGATTAAACAAAGTTATATTGGTTTCTTGATATTGTGCCCTCTCAAGGCCATTAATTTGTTCATTGTGACCTTCCATCATCAGTATGTGTGTTTAGCTGAGAAGTATTTCATGATGCATAATGTTCTTTGGAACATAGTTAAGTGTGCCTAATTAGGAGACTTCCCAAAAAATCCAAAATGTTTTCCTTTTTTCCACAAAAATGAAAATATGGTTGGGTTTGGGTTGAGTCCAGTAGATTGTATTTGGACCGGAGTGTGGCAGTGTAATATCAGGGTGAGGCTGGAGGTGTCAGAAACAGAGAACAGAAAAGGTAGTTTTCTCATTGCAAGAGAGCCGGGAACGAGACAGGAGATGTCTGTGCAGGAGCAAGGATTTGGAACTCCTTTTTATAACCTATTTTCAAGGGCTATTTCATCACTGTGGGAGTCAGTCTCTGCCACTTGCTATCTGCTGGGACAACAGGTGCTGGTGGGCCTTCCTCAGAGGAGGTGTTCTGCTTTGTTCTGTTTGTCCTGTTTCCACCTTCCTGGAAATTTTCAGTAGCCACCTATTGGTCATATAGACCCAAGGCTGAGTTCCCATGGCAACTCTGTCAGTTTACCTTTCTTATCTCTTTTGTGTCTCCTAGCAATATTCAGCTGAGCAAAGTGCTGAAACTTAAGTTTTAAAATTAAATACCCCAACATAAAGGCCAACTTACCTGGAGTTCCTTATTCTGCTGATATGTCACCTATTGTTCTGGTTTGACTGCTTCTCCTGGGTGTCACCTAGGAAGAAGGTTATAGGGTGTGCAAGTACTTTAGCATAATAAAAATCAGTCAAGTTTTTGACTACATCAGCAAGATTTTGTTTTTTCTGTTTTTCCTGGAGTTAATGGATGCAGAACCATTCAACCAAGAGAGTTTTTAGTGCTTACCGCCCGAGGGAGAGGTGGAGAGATTGTGGTCTCTATAGGAAGCAGGCATGGGTAGGTGAAATGTTCCCATAGAAGGATTGCTGTGTAGGAACATGAAGATGAAGGCAGTCTTGTTCATGAAGATAAGCCAGGAGCAAGGAAGAAAAGAGAATGAGGCTGTTAACCCATACTGAACAGTGTCCCTGCCATTTGTTGTGGAAAGAGCTGGTGATGTTTCCCCATGTACTGTATTGTGGAAGTCCTAAGTTAAATAAGGTGTGATCAAATTTTCAAATAAATTTAGAGAAGGTATCTTTGAATTAAGCCCAGTTTATACTGCCTACTCATTCCTATATATGAGTAAGTAGTTAGAATTTCTTAATAATTTTGTCTTTCAAGATGTTTTATTTTTATTTATTTATTTTTTAACATTTATTTATTTGTACATACAGAACTGGGGTACAGGCCAGAGGCTCAGGGGTGGCGAGAGGCTTAACCAGAGGCAGAGTGGGGAGCAGAACAGGCAGATTGATGAAGTACACTGCTGAGGGGAGCAGCGGGTGGGTCAGGAGAGGTCTGCCACGCCATGTGGTCACCTCCGGGGCGGGTGGGGATAGAACTCATGCAGAAGTGGCTTTAGCTTCTCAGTGCAGTGCTTTAAACCGCTGCGCCACCAGGGAGGGCCCAAGATGTTTTATTTTTAAATAGTATTTAATCCATACTTTTATTTGTTCTTCCCTCAGAAATTGACATTGTTTTCAAATCCTAACTATGTAGATTAGAAATCGGAAATTGTATTTGGACTATGAACAAAGCATATATATATATATATAAATCTTAAAAATATATATATATATATTTTAAGATTTATTTATTTATGCATACAGAACTGGGGTACAGGCCAGAGGTGCAGGGGAGGTGAGAGGATTCATCAGAGACAGTGGGGAGCAGAACAAGCTGACTAATGAAGTACACTGCCGAGCAGTGGGTGAGACAGAAGAGGTCTGCTGTGCCATGTGGATCTCCTCTAGGGCGGGGGATCGAACTTGCACTGAAGTGGCCACTGCTCATTGCTCCCTGAGGAGAAAGGAGATTTCTGGACTTCATACAAGAAGGAACTAGGAAGAGTTTACCACTTCTCCTTTTTATGAAATCATCATGAATTAGGTTTGTCCTGGACAGTGTTTTGCTTTATTTTCTCTTCTGAAATATGTTCTCTTTTCTTTGAATATAGCCCAAGCCTCGAACACCACATGATGCCACGCCCCAGATCCGCAACCGAAAGCTGGCTGCCCAAGAGCCTGCCAGTGTGCTAGAGGAGGCCCGACTGAGGTGACGCTGCCCAGGGTTCCTTTCAGACAGGCAGACATGTGCTTCTGCTTTTAGTCACATAAAATGAGAGTTACTTCAAGTTATGCATGTGCATAAGATAAGCAGAGAGTTAAATGAATGTGTGTGATCTAGGAAGAAGAAACCTGTTAATTAGCTGGTGCCTAGATGAGCCAAAGTGGACTCTGAAGGAATAACCTTCAGAGAAACAGGGGTTGATGCCCCTATTTTTTCAGGCATGGGAGTCGATTGAAGGTGACTTGTCAGGACACTTTCTCTGTATGGTTTTCTTTAGAACCATCTAGGCACTTTTTCAAAACATGTAAGCCAAGATTCTATTGGAAATCAGTTGAATCAGATTCTCTTGTAGGATGAAGTACACCCATTGGATTTGTAGAGAACTCCTAGACAACATTTACCTTTGCTTAGAAACTGAATTGAGTGATTTATATAGAAAAAGGGGTTGTAAGGACAAAGGAAGAGACATGAGAAGGAAGGCAATCCCTTGAATCTGTGAATGAGGTTTCATATAGAACTAGACAAGTCTTTTCCATTGATTAGTGAGTTGATGGTGAAATGTTTCTAAAATCCTCCTTTTTTCATTTACCACCAACTGTAGGCTGCATGTTTGTGCTGTGCCTGATTCACTTCCTTGTCGGGAACAGGAATTCCAAGACATCTACAACTTTGTGGAAAGCAAACTCCTTGACCATACTGGAGGGTAAGCCATGTTGAAGTGGTCAGGGCAGAAAGCCTCTGCTATTTACACATCACCAGGTGTTAGCGTTCAAGCATATGATCAAAAGAATAGTGTAAGTTCCCTGCTCACGCTTAAAGCTCTGACACAGCTTTTGTTGTCAAAATAATTCTAAAAGAATAGAAATTGTGTCTTGCAGAGGAAATGAAACTGACCTCCCAGTAGGCAGTTTGCATACAGCATTGCTACTAAAATGAATGATTCTATGTGAACAGGTCTTTACTGCCCCTACTCCACATTACATGGGTCATCATCCTTCATTCAGCACACATTCCCATATTCCTAACCTAACAGTGTGAGGTGCTGGTGCAGACCTAGCCCACAGGTCTTTCCTTCTTGCCCTAGATGCATGTACATCTCAGGAGTCCCTGGCACAGGGAAGACTGCCACTGTGCATGAGGTGATACGCTGCCTGCAGCAGGCAGCCCACACAAATGATGTTCCTCCCTTTCACTACATTGAGGTCAATGGCATGAAGCTGACAGAACCCCACCAAGTCTATGTGCAAATCTTGCAGGTAAGCAAAGCTGATTGGGGTCTTTTTAGAAAGTGCAGTTTCCTGGCTGATGAAAACACAACTCTTAATTTAATTTTGGAGGTGCTTCCCAACTTGCCTGTGGCTCATTTGCATTTCACACACAGACTTTGCTTTTGGGGCCCTCCAGGTTGAGGTTAAGGCTAGCGTGGAAGGCAGAGCACAGGGTACTGAAGTCCTTAGTTTCTCTACTTGCAGATTTAATCTTAAGCTCCAGGAAGTAAAATCCTTAGTTTACCATGCCTGCTTTCCCCCTAAACACCCATTGCAGAAGCTGACAGGCCAAAAGGCAACAGCAAACCATGCGGCAGAACTTTTGGCGAAGAGATTCTGTACTCGAGGCTCCTCTCAGGAAACCACCATACTGCTTGTGGATGAAGTAAGGAGGTGCCCATGGGAGAACTAGAAGAGTCCTTGACTTACTTTCCAGAAGCAAGCACTGGGTGGGAGGGAAGTCCTGGCCCTTCTCATTCATATGAGCCCATCTGGTGGTGAGAGGTATCAGTTTATTGACAAATGGTTATCTCTGATTGCCCCTAAATTTCTTCTTGTTTTCCTGACAGCTTGACCTTCTTTGGACGCAGAAGCAAGATGTAATGTACAATCTCTTTGACTGGCCTACCCACAGGGAGGCCCGGCTTGTGGTCCTAACCATTGCCAACACCATGGACCTGCCGGAGCGCATCATGATGAACCGAGTGTCAAGCCGACTGGTAGGTCCTGGGGTTGTTCTCAAGCTTTTTATAGTTCCATAAGCTCAACCAGTGAGTTGTGTGAAAAGAAACCAGAAAACTAAAACTTAATTGTCTGGTACAGCTTTCATCATCAAAATAATTCTATAGGAATGGAAATTTTGTCTTTCAGAGACAGTTTGATAGGCAGAGAAAAATGGGTAAAGTAAGAAATAGGATTCTCAAATTCTTAAAATTCCGGTGTTGGAATTAACATATCATCATTGTGTAACTTTTTGCAAACATACCTTCTTGGTGTCCTTCCATCTGTGTGCTCTTAAACTGCACAGAGCCCTAGAAGTTTAATTATTTAAAAAATAACTTAAGGCTTACCCTTGCCAGGCAGCCTTTAGATGGTGACTTACAGCAGAGAGTAAGGCAGGCAGACTCTGCTCTTGTGGATCATGTGATCCAGTAGCAAGCGCAACATCAGGTACTTAACATGTAGGACCTGTCTGTGCATGTTGTAGAGCCAAAAATTGCACTACCATCTCTAATGAGAGCACCTTTGCTTCTATCTACTTCTAAATGATTCTGGTAGAATAAAAGTTTCTTTAATACCAAATGAAAAACAGTTGAGAACCACTGCCCCACAGGATACCACTGGCCACTGTGCAAAGAGCTGGAAGCAGTGGTGGGTCTGGGATGAAATGTTTAAATTGTTAAATGGGATTTGGGAATCAGGTCTTGGGGCTGGAGGGTCCACCAGGACTGTCAGTGTAGGTGGTCCACGAACTTACTGAGGTCTTCTTGGCTCCCCAGGGCCTAACCAGGATGTCCTTCCAGCCTTATACTCACAGCCAGTTGCAGCAGATTGTACTGTCCCGACTCAGATACTTAAAGGCCTTTGAGGATGATGCCATACAGTTGGTATCCAGGAAGGTAAGGCACTTTCAGGGAACTCCTCACACCTAAAGCCAGGCAGCAAGTCTGTTGAGCACCTGGCTCTGAGGTTTTGCTGGTGCTCTGGGGATGCAGAGAAATTTAGGAAATAAAAGCAAGTAGAAACAAAATACTGAAAAATTCTTTTACCTTCTTATTGTATCATTCCTTATGTATTCCTTATTGTATCATTCCATAGTCAGAAGGTGACTATGCTTGTGTGTAGTTTGTATATAATTATATACAAACTAAGATTAATTGATTAAAAAAAAGAAGTAGCTTCATACAATGAAAAGGGTAATGTAAAGGGTTTGTCACATAGACAAATCTGGTGTGAATTTTGACTCTTAACACATTGAAGGTATAGGCTGGGCTATAGGAAAGTTATTTTAAAATTCCTGAACCTCAGTTTTTTTCCTTTGAAAGATGGGTATAATAACTACCTTACAGAGTCATTATGATAATTAAATAAGATTATGTCTGTAATAGGTCTTGCCACAGTACACATTCCATGGTAGGTGTGAGGTCTTGGTACCTACATCTTCCAGGTTCACTGGGAAAATGCCAAATGAGATTCTACTAAGGCTCATCTCTGAGGCTGCTAAGGAGGAAAGTGAGTTAAATACCTGTCTCAGGCTGAGTGCTAGAAAAGCCACATGTCCTCCTAAAAAGAGTTATAAACTTTTGTTTTTTACTTGGAGCAATGTAAACTCTGAATAATCAGCTTTTAACCCTAACACCTGCTCACAGCTGAGTAGTCTTAGGTACTGCACAGAGGAGCTAGATATGGTCTCCAGCCTTAGCTTTGTAGGCGAAAGGGCCTCAGAGTTAATCTAATCCTTCTATTGGATAGAGTTTTTGACTTTTGCTTTCATGTAATTTCTGAGATTTTTTTTTTTCTCCTTGTAATGGCCCCTTTTTTATGTCATCCTATTTTCCTCTGAGATGTTTTAGTCTGTTGGTTTTGGTTTCTAATAACTCTCTTATTATTGGAGCCTTTTTCATATGCCTTTCTGTCCACTCAGGTGTAAGAGTGGAGATTCAAAAATTGACGGGGCTCTGAGCACATGAATGGGCTTGCTCCCTGAGAGCCTCACTGTAGGGTAATTCAGTGAGGGGCCATGGAGGGTGGGGGGTGGGTGGACAGATTTCAGTATCTTTAGTTCTTTCCCATTAGTACAGACAGATTTTCCAGAATAGGCTTCCCATGTCCTGCCTCGAGGACAGTGTGCTGGGAGCAGAGGAGGTGGACTGGAGTCAGAAAATGTACATATTTTTTAATTTTAGCATGCAAATGATTACCATCTATATTTAGTAAGGGACCCCCGTCTCTGCACTAATACTTAGTGCCCTATCACTCTCTACCCCCCATCTAGAGGTCTTTTTAAAATCATTACTTGGGAATAAACCTCCGCTATATTATGAGAGGAATAATCTCCAGAGCAAAGAGTTTTTGGAAACTGTACAAATTACCAAGACACAAAATGATCTCACAGAGGGAATTGCCATCTTTAGTAAGTCGCCAAAATGACCCACAAAGAGGGAAAAGGAGAAGCATCCACTATGTTTTCTGTAGGCTGTTTAGAAAAATGAAGTGTGGGCCCTTCCTGGTGATACAGTGGGTTAAATAGCAGCACTATGAAGCTATCCATAGCCACTGCAGCACAAATTCTATCCCTGGCCAGGGAGGTGACCCACGTGGCGTGGCAGACCTCTTCTGACCCACCTGTTGCTCTCCTCAGCAGTGTATTTCAGGGCAGGTGGGGATCAAAACTCATGCTGAAGTGGCTTTAGCTTCTTAGTGCTGTGCTTTAACCTGCTGTGCCACCAGGGAGGGCCCACACTTCATTATGCAAGAAACAAGAGAATCCTTGTATTAGTAGATGGTTCAACAATGATCTTGAGTCAAGAATCTCTTTCGAATTTCCTTTCCCTAATATTAAGTAGAGTTGAGCTTTTTTTGGTTTTGTTTTCCTTTTCCATTGACAGGTTATCTATAAAACCGAGACAGGTTATCTATAAAACCGAGACAAGGGCTGGGACTTAGGGAAGAGTCCTAGGTACAGTGTAATAATTTATATCTGGGCTTCTGCCAGATCCCCAGCCAGGGCTAAATACTTAACTGCAGGCTTGAATCCATTTGAAGTGTTGCCTTTTGTTTTCAGGTGAACACACAATCTGTTAGGGTTTTGTTCTGGATGGAGAGGACAAGAGAGTTCAAAGAACAACATGTTCCCTCTTGTAGGTAGCAGCCCTCTCTGGAGATGCACGACGCTGCCTGGACATTTGTCGGCGTGCCACAGAGATCTGTGAGTTCTCACACCAGAAGCCTGACCGCCCTGGCCTGGTGACTGTGGCCCATCTACTGGAAGCAGTGGAGGAGATGTTTTCATCATCATACATCACTGCCATCAAGTAAGATGCCTCCTTGGATCACCACTGGAGACATGCATAGTCCGGGATGGCCCTAGAAACCATTTGTCCCTTTCAGAGCTTTTACTCATTCAACAACCCGCCTTTACTAAAGACTGATCTTTTTTTAAAAGGGGCACTGTCTAGTTAGGGAGACAGAAATGTAACCCCGATATAACAGAAGGATAATAACCACTTATTTAATTACCCTGTGGAAATAAGAAAAAGAAAGCAGCCACTACTTCTTTCACACTGAACGATATGCTCAGTTCTGAAGTGGGGGTGCTTGGTACATTTCCAGGTGAAATCACTGGAGTCTTTCACTTAAAGTGAAAGAATTTCCCACATCACTTTGAGACTTTGAGAACTGGGGATAGCATTGCCAAGTAATATATTTTCCAGCTTCCCCCAATAATAAAAGTTTCCCACTTTCCCCTCCCTCTTTTGTAAAGATACAGAAAGGCTTTATTTGCTTTTCTTTGAGGTCATGGCACAGCCACTTAGGAGAACCCTTATCTTTTCTTTAAGAAATTCTTCTGTTCTGGAACAAAACTTCTTGAGAGCCATCCTTGCTGAATTTCGTCGGTCAGGTTTGGAGGAAGCCACATTTCAACAGGTGACTCATCTCTTTATTTTAATCCTAGGTTTTGACCTGATGCCCTTGAAATATGACAGAATTTCAATCACTTTTTAAAACCATTTCAATTTTGTGCCAACCTGATTATGCTAAATAATATCAAGCCTGCACCTATTTTTCTGTGATTTTTTTTTTTATTGCATGAGAACTTTTGCAGCTGTTCAGCATATTATATTGATGGTTTACTATATGCCAGTCACTAATGTAAGAGTTGGAGATTCAAAGATGAACAAGACAAAAGTTACCACCCTAACAGAGCTATGTTGGAAGGTAGGGGCAGGGCTTTCAGAACAATTTTGTTTAAAAACAAATCACAAAGATAATTCAGTCAGACAGAGAACAGTTTTAATTTACTGAATAAGTGAAATCATTATGGCCTGTGCATTCATGGTTTACTTATAATAAAACTGGTGTCCACAGGCAATGTGCTAAGAAAATGAACCGTTAAAGGCTTTTGATTGGAGTGTGTGTGCGCATGTGTGAACCTGCATATGTGTCTTAGACATGCAGATAGAAAAGTTAGTGAAACATTCCCTTATCAACTATGTCTTTATTTCCTTTTTTAAACATGTAGTTGCTGATCATATTTTGCTTATTACTATTCTTCTACATCATTAGGCAACCTTTTGCAGCAAGTGACTAATTTTTTAAACATTTCCTCAACATCTACAATATACCATTATCTGTGGAGTGTGCCAGGACCTCTGGGCTGAATTGGCTAACATCCCTACTCCTGACAACCATTCAGTCTTGGTGCTGGTGGGGGGAAATATTTTTAAATAGAATAGAGACTAGGTGGTGCTACAGATTACCTCACTGTCTGGGTTAGGAAAGTTTCCAGCTATCTTCAGCATTCTCTCTGTGCTTTGTGCTTTTCCAAGGCTCATGCATTGGCACCTGCCCATTGTATCTGCTAAGGACAATCCCCTTTAGCACAATTTTACTTGAATTATGACAGTTAGTTGTGGAACTCTCAGAGCCCCTGGGCAGTTACTATACATTTTATGTCCATTAACTCAGGAGCAACATGGTAGTACCTTTTAACAGATGAAATTGAAGTTCAACTAAAAGTTCATATCACAAGGAAAAATTATAACTGTATGGTAACAGATGTTAACGTGATATTTTGACAATATATGCAAATATTAAAAACAAGATCTGAAAATATAAAATACTTTTGCACAGGGTTATGTACTTAGGTTACTTTAAAGTAGAACCAGAATTCAGCAACTGCTGTTCTCCAATTCCATGGTCAGGATTGCATTCTGCCTGTGCTTTTATGCCCACCCATTGATAACTCCTGGGGTATAACTGGCCCAAAAATGTCTGATTTTCCCAAAGAAAAACTAAGTGACCAGATACAAATCCAGGGCTACCTTACCTCATAATCTTTCCAGTTGCTGACCTTGGGTTTGCTCTCTGTTTAGGTTTACAGTCAACACGTGGCACTGTGCAGAATGGAGGGCCTGCCGTACCCCACCATGTCAGAGACCATGGCAGTCTGCTCTCGCCTGGGTGCCTGCCGCCTCCTCCTTGTGGAGCCCAGCAGGAATGACATGCTACTTCGAGTGCGGCTCAATGTCAGCCAGGATGATGTGCTGTATGCTCTGAAAGACCAGTGAAGGGCTTCACAGGAAGGAGTGTGATCTGTGATCTCCCAGAGCCTGATTTCATCACAGTTCATGGAATTGTTGTAGCAAAAAATGTACTGAGTGGAAAAGGTTGTTAGGTATTTTTCCATTAAATAACTTGCTTTTTCCAGATTTTGGGAAGTCCTTACAAACATGAGATTCTAAAACAAGCCACCTTTCCTATAGTAGTTCTTCACTCTCACTTTCTGTGAGTAGCCCTATCATTTATTTAATGGTAACATACCACGTATACACGTGTGCACATCATTGCTTGTATGTGTGTATATGCAGTTTATTTTTTTTTAAGATTTATTTGTGCATACAGAACTGGGGTACAGGCCAGAGGCTCAAGGGCGGCGAGAGGCTTCACCAGAGACAGAGTGGGGAGCAGAACAGGCAGATCAATGAAGTACACTGCTGGGGGTAGCAGCGGGCGGGTCAGGAGAGGTCTGCGGCGCTATGTGGCCACCTCCGGGGCAGGTGGGGATCGAACTCATGCGGAAGTGGCTTTAGCTTCTCAGTGCAGTGCTTTAACCCGCTGCACCACCAGGGAGGGCCCATATGCAGTTTATTTTTAAAGATTTATTTATTTTTGTAAGAACTGGGGCACAGGCCACGGGTGCAGTGGATAAGAGGATTCACCGGAGACAGTGGGGAGCAGAACAGGCAGATTGACTGAAACACACTGCTGAGGGGAGCAGTGGGCAGGTCAGGAGAGGTCTGCCAAGCCATGTGGGTCAGCTTACTGGCTGCTGATAACTTCATAGTGCTGATAACTGCCACCAGGGAGGTCCCCGGTTCTGAGAGAATATGTCAAAATTGGTTATCTTGCCAACCTCAGGGAAAGAAATGTTCTCTAAGAAGTCACTCAAGAGCACTAAGAGTGAAGTGCCAAGAAAATGGAAAGATATTTGAGACTACTAACTACAAAACAATAATGACTAAAGAGTTTAGGAAACGAGTTAAGAAGTGCATCGCAGTTTGTTTTTGATGGAAAACTTCATAATGTCCTTCCTGTTTCAAAGCACTGCTGGGTGAGGGTGGGGAGTAAGTACCTGATGCTAGAATATCTAAAGGGACTTCGTGACCAGGTCAAATGAGCCCTGCTAGTCTTACGTGTCCATCTGCCCTTCTGACCAGAAAAGGTACTGTCGGTGCGGGGTTTGCAATTCCCGGGACACTCAGTTACACAGGCTGGTGTGGCGGCAGAAGCCCCGCCCCGCGTCGACACTTGCGCGAGGCGGCGCGCCGGCGGGGCGGAACCACTAACACCTCTGCCAGCCTCGCGCAACCTGCCGCCAGGCGCCTGCGCGCTGGGGACTCCACCCTCGAGTCACCTGTTGGAGCGCGGCGCTCGCGTCTCGCGCATGCGTGCTGCGTACCGCAGAGCGTGAGTCACGTGTCAGGGCGCCAGGCGTCTCCCGGGGGGGCGCTTCCTATCCCTGCCGCCGGGCCCGGGGGCCGCGGAAGCCCTGGGCGGTCCCGGGCGGGCGAAGGCCCGGGTTGGTCTCGGATCCGCCGCGAGGTATGCTGCGTACCCGCCCCCCGGCGTGGGGCGATGTAGGGACGGCGGGGGAAATGGAGGCGGCTGGGGCAGGGCAGGGCGGCGCGTCCTGCAGCGTGGGAGTGGGGTTCCCCGGCTTCGCCTCCCCTGCTCACTCGGCTGCCCAGCTTTCTCCTGAACCCTGGCCGGGGTCCAGCACCGGTGGCCCCAGTAACGCGCCCCCGGAATCGCACACTTGGCGTGTCCGACTGACTGTGTTATCCCCGAGACCCGTCACTCGGTGCCGGGGCTCAGTTGACGACCCCGCCATTCGCCCGAGTCACCGAATCTGATGCCTGGAGACACCCTGCGCGCCCCCTGCCGTGCGCCCACTTCCATTTAACCTCGGAACCCTCTAGACTTGACTCCTTAACTCTGGAATCTGCTCCTCCCGACACCACCCCACGCTCCGTCTGCTCGCCGCCTCCGCCTGGACCGTTGCGAGACGCTCCGTGCCGAGATGGCTTCCAGCCTCCACCTCCCTCCTACCTCCCGGCACCTTCCCCTTGCAGCCAGAGGGATGCTTCTGGAACGAGGACTTGACCCTGCCGTGTGCATAGCCCTTAGGATAACGCCCAAACTCCTTTAGTTGGAAAGTTTTTTCCGTTCTGCCACTTGCATTTCTGCTTCGCTTGTGCTGTATCTCGCCTCATACTTTTTCTCCAGTAATTCCAAGTCTCTGGTTTCCTTGTGCAAGCCGAACTGGTCCTCAGCACAGAATCTTCTGGTCGTTCCTCTGCTCCGAGTCCTAGTTCCCTCGCCTCCCATCTTCTTCATGACTCAGCACAGTCATCACCTTCTCCAAGAAGCCTTTTCTCTGTGCTGGATAAAAGGCCACTCAAGGGCCCTGGCGCAGCCCTGTGTTTTGTCCATTGAGGAGGCCGTCTCCACCATGTAAATATTCTCAGTGAGGAGACTCAGATTCATTTCTACTTAACCAGTGCCCAAGTGAAGAGCTGACAGTAGGCCTAGGAGGGCACTGAAAGAATCACAGTGCTGACTCGAATTTCTCTAGAGTAGAGTTGTCCAGTAGAACTTTATGCAGTGATGAAAATGTTCAGTATTTGTGCGGCTACAGTAGCTACTACCAGCCACGTGTGACTGCCGAGCGTTTGTATTGTGCCTAGTCGAGGAACTAAATTTTAAGTTTTATTTGAATTAAATTTAAACGTTAAGTAGCCACAATGAGCTACCATGTTGTACAGCAGTCAAGCCTTGAATATTCCCCAGCTGTACCCAATCTCACTCCCCTGTGCTGCTAGGCCCCTCCCCTCTCAGTCTTAGGTTTAATCCACATTTGTCTGGTCATCAGTTCAATAGCATTTGTGTGTGTCTGCACTTCCCACTTAAACTATTAACAGGTGGTCCCATCCCTCTCCACTCCCAGGTTGCTTGCTTCAGGGCTATGCTTTCAAGGTCAGTATTCCAGCCTTTGGTGTCAAGACTTGCTTTCTTTGAAATGAGAGTTTACTGACCACCCCTTACGATAGCATTATTGGGGGTGGGACTTGTAGGTTCTCCATTTTGAGTCTTTTCTACTTCCCACCAGGTAAGTAGCTAGGCTGCCAAGATGCCAAAACCTCGGAAGGGCCCTCAGGCCGGTGGCAAGGGTGTGGCAGCTGCCAAACAGGTATGGATTTTGCAAAGGCCTCCTTCACCCCTGTCTCTGAGGGTGGGGGTCTCTTGGCAACTTGGACAAATTGGTCACCAGTGTGGTTTCCCCATTAGGCCAGAGAGTTGGAATGGTGCCTTCTGGAGTTAGTGGAGCCCTTGAAAGACCCTCTGCTGGCCTTTGCCAGGGTAGATGAGGCCTGAACTCCTGGATTTCACACAGACATCCTTCTGACTTGTGACCTTCATAAGAGTTAATTGGGAGGTTCAAGAGCCACTAACATTTAGGGTGTTTGAATAAGGTCTCAGCACTATCATGTAGAGCCATTTTGCTTGTAACCAAAGATACCAGGATTTGAGGCTGCAGCTACCAGAGAACTTTGCTGTCCAGAGACAAAGGACTATTGCCAAAAAGTCTAAGGGGGTGGGGCTTTCCTCCCTCTATTTCTTCTGGGCTCAATTCCTGAGATTTCTTAGTCCATTATCTTGCTGGGTTTTTTTAGATTTATTTATCCATGCATACAGAAAAGGCCAGAGGTGCAGAGGTGGTGAGAGGATTCACCAGAGACAGAGTGGGGAGCAGAACAGGTCCACTGATGGCTTGGGGAGCAGCAGGAGGGTCGGGAGAAGTGTGCTGCACTATGTGGATCACCTCTGGGATTGAACTCATGCTGAAATGGTGTTAGCTACTTAGTGTTGTGCTTTAACCTGCTGCGCCACCAGGGAGGGCCATTATTTTTAAAGAAAGATTTATTTATTCATGCGTACAAGAGCTGGGGTGTAGGCCAGTAGTGTGTGTGTGTGGGGGGGGGGGTGAGAGGTAAGAAGATTCAGCGGAAACACAGTAGGAAGTGAAATAGGCATATTGAAATACACTGCTGAGGGGAGCAGTCGGAGAGACCATATCTGGGTCACCTCCTTGGCCACGGATAGAACTCATGATATATGCAAAGTGGCTTTGGAGAGCTTCGTAGTACTGAGATGTAACTCCTTGCTTGGGCCACTAGGGAGGAGGCCCTCTTAGTCCATTTTCACTGTCTAAAAAGAGGCCCGGTAAGTGTTGGGGTAAAGGGTATGACTCGGATCTTAAGATGTTATTTTATTTTTGCATTGAAGAATTGGGGTGTAGGCCAGAGGATCAGGGAATAAGAGGATTCACCAGTAAAGATGGGGAGCAAGAAAGATGGATCTACTGAAATACACTGCTGAGGAGAGCAGCAGGAAAGACAGGAGGAGCCTGCTGCACCATGTGGGTCAGCTCCTTGGTGGGGGCTCGAACTTGGGCTGTAGAGGTGTTGACACAGAGACTTAACCCCTAGGCCACCAAGAGGCCCCAAATTTTTATTTTAAATTCTGTCCCTGCCATTTAACAAGGCTCTCTGTTTCATCTAAACAGAGATAAATATAGAAACTGGGCCCTCCCTGGTGGCTCAGTGGGTTAAACCACAGCACTGCAAGTGAGCTGCAATCACTTCACTGAGAGTTCAATCCACGCCCCAGAGGTGACCACATGGTGCAACAGACCTCTCCTGACCTGCCCGCTGCTCCCCTCAGCAGTCTGTTACTCCACAGTGTACTTCGTCAGTGGGTAACAGTCCGTTGTGTTCCCCACTCTGTCTCTGGTGAATCCTCTCACTGCCCCTGCACCTCTGGCCTGTACCCCAGTTCTGTATGCATAAATAAATCTTAAAAACAAAAAAATCTGTCTTTATCTAGAGGAGTCAAATTCATAGAGCCAGAAGTTGAATGTTGGTTACCAGGGGCTAGGACAGGGATGGGAGCTGTTTGATGGGCATGGAGTTTCAGTTTTGCAAGATGAGGAGTACTGTGGCTGATGGCAGTGATGGTCACACAGCAGTGTGATGTATGCCACCAAATGCTATGCTTTAAAATGTTTTAAAAGGTAATCTTCATTTTAAGTGTGTTTTGCTACATTTTTTAAAAGAGAACCTGTCTCAGAATTGTGAGAATTAAGATAATCCTATAGAATGCTAAGCTCAGTGCTTAGTATCAGTTGCTGTTATTGTCAATAATGACACAGCAGAACCTTACTGGGTCCTTTGTCGTCATCAGGGAGGTGTCTCCCGGGGTGAAGTGCAGGCCTGGGTTTCCCTTGGTGCTTGCTGGGCTTCACAGACAGTGAAGGAGACATTGATGGGTCCTTTGGGAGCCCAGAATCTGACTGTGAGTGGGGCTTCACTCTCTGCCTCCGTGTGTGTTGCCTAAGAACGCTCCTCTACTCTCAGCTGGGGCTTTTTGTGGAGTTCAACCCTGAGGACATGCTGCTGGGGACGGAGGAGACTGAAGATGATGGAGACCTGGAAGCTGAGCTGCTGGCCCTCACTGGGGAAATGGGAAACGCGAGAGAAAAGCCAGCACCCAAGGGGCAGGGTGAGTTTGCAGCACTGTGCTGGCACCTGATGGGGCTCAGTAGGCAGTGGAGAGGGCCCTTTCCTCACCACTGGGAGTGGCCAGAGCGCCTGGGCCCGCTGTTCCCCGAGTCGAGAGGCCGCCTTGCCCTGCCCAGAGAGCTGACATAGGACGCACCCTCCCTCCCCGGACTGCCTCCTCCTGGTGGTGGGCAGTCAGAGTCTTCCTCACACTGACTCAGATCGTGTCCTTAGCCCTGGCGACGGCCTGATACAGAGCAGGGGCTCTGTTAGCAGGGACCGAATTAGGAGCATAATAAATACCCAGAAATTATGTCAAGTAAGTGGAATCTTCCTCCCCAAATCAGAAGAGTACAGATCTGGGAGACCAGGAACCCTCAGAGAAAATCACCCTCGAGGACAATGGGAGGACCCAAAAGGGGTCCCCCTCCCCACCCCCGCCCCTTTTATTTAAACCTGTCTTTGGATTAGACAAACCTGGATTTGAATCTTGGAATTTCAGTGTTAGGAGAATTAATTAATATTGGTAATTCTCAGTTTATTCATATATAAAATAAGAATATATTACCTATCAGAATTACTATGAGGCTTAAATGGACACTAAGGATTTGGGCTAATGTGTCATGGAGGTGGGTGACTCTGCCCAGGAAAAACTGTTACTCCCCTTGGGAGGGCCCAGGAAGATTTTCTGTGAATGTTTTTAAACGGGGTCATTAAAGGAAGAGCAGGAGTTTGCAGGTGGTGCTTAGGCCACGGAGGGAGAGGGTTTCACCCACGGGCCGTCACGGTGCAGTGAAGGCCCTCCTTGGCCCCTCTTGGACCTTTTCTGAGTTTTGCTGATCATTTGTGACCCTCTTCCTCCAGCCCCTCTGCCTATGGCCCACATCGAGAAGTTGGCTGCGGACTGTATGCGGGATGTGGAGGAGGAGGAGGAGGAGGAGGAAGGGCTGGAGGAGGATGCAGACTTGCTGGTGCGTCTGCTGCACTGGGGTCCTGGGCTCCGTGATCACGCCTGTCGGGAGGCCTGGGGTTTCTCTCTGTGTGGCTCTGATGTTGAGGAAGTGCCTTGCCCATCTCGAGCCCATTTTTCTGGCTACAGTGTGAGACTAGTCTCCCTTGACATCTGGTATGAGCTCTGCACTGGAAGATTTTCAGACTGGGGAGTGCTCACTGTTTTCAAGGCAATCCTTGGTCAGGTTAAAGCAGTTTTTTTGGTAGAGGGGATTTTTCCAGACACAGTGACTGATGTTGAGAAATACTGCTGGGGGGCAGAAGGTCCTTTATGGTTGGATCTTGTAGTTGTGGCCATGAGTCCCCCAAACTCCTGGGACCTGTCTCCTCCTCTCCCCCCCCGCCCCTCCCCAGACTGAGTTGCAGGATGTGCTGGGTGCAGATGAGGAGGCTGGGCCCCTGGATGATGATGAGACAGCCAGCCAGGGTGGCTCTGAGGAGAAGGAACAGGAAAACATTGACCCTCCACTGCAGACAGCTCTAACAGCTTCAGTCCCAGCTGCTCAGGTAGGTTCTGGAGGGGTCTGTGTGTCTGGTGTCCGTGCATGACAAGCAGGCATGACTTGTGGAGGAAAGCTGCTGCAAGAACCCTTTTCAGGACCCTCTTCCACAGCTGCCCGAAGCAGAGACAGAGCACAAGAACTCCTTGGTGACTGGCTGGCCTCAAAGGCTTCTCTGTTCTCTCAGACCACCCCCCACAGCCATTTCTTGGCTTCCACAGATTGTCAGTGCCTGTGTTTGCCTCTGACATAGCCTCTGGCCTCTCTAATGAGCCTGCGTTTCTCCTTGAGACTTTTAGGCTCTTTCTCTCCTGGAATCCAAGGGCTCTGTTTTCTGAGGCAGCTTCCTTACAGGGAGGGAAAAGCAAGGGCCTAGCTGGCCAGGGTGTAGCCAGGCACTGAACTGAAGTATCTACAGGATGGAGGGCCTCAGGGGCTGCAGGCGCTGCTGGAGGATCGGATCCACAACTATCGGGAGGCTGCTGCCAGTGCCAAGGAGGCAGGTGAAGCAGCCAAAGCCCGGCGCTGTGAGCGTGGCCTGAAGGTGGGTTGGGGAGCAGAGCTGGGAGGGATGGGTAAGGCTGGAAGATGATGGGCCAGTGGAGGGGAGGCCTCCCCATCAGCCCTGTGAACACGATGGGTCCCTGGCCTGTTCTCAAGTAGGGAGTAGGCCAAGCTGACTATCTGGGTTTATGGTTCTTTCCTCTCTCAGACCTTGGAATCTCAGTTGGCTGCTGTGAGGAAAGGCAGGAAGATCAATGAGGATGAGATTCCACCTCCAGTGGCCTTGGGCAAGAGACCCCCAGCCCCTCTGGAGACAACCAACAGTAACCCTGACACAGAACCCCCAGGACCTCCCACTGCGGAGCAAGGTATCTTGTGTGTGTCTCAGTTGCCAACGTCAGCGCCCACAGGCTGCTCTGCTCCCCCACCCTCCACCTTGCCACTGTCTGATGTCATCAATGGCGCTTTCCCTGAGAGGGCTTTAGGCCAGCCAGACCTTTGGACACTGGGAATCCACGGTATGCCCTTTATTGAGTTTCATGCCCTCTCTGTGGGCTTTTGTTTCTCCATAGACAATGCCTCTCAGCCTGAGACCATCCTTTTGAGCAGCTCTGACCTTTCTGCCCCACCTGGTTCACACCCAGACCCACAGGTCCTGTTGCTGACCCGACAGAGAGAGTACAAAGTGGCTGCCCTGAATGCCAAGCGGGCTGGAGACCTGGACCGTGCCCGAGAGCTCATGAGGATTGGGAAGGTATGACCTTGGTTCACAGGGCCTGTCAGCCAGATGGGGGCATTGACCAGCTGGAGGTCACACAGCCAGACTGGGCTTGAGAGTGGCCTGAGTTGTGTTCAGCTGAGGCTCTTGGGCTTTCCCTGGCTTATGCCCACATCTGCGTTTGTTCCTATGCAGAGATTTGGTGCTGTCCTGGAGGCCCTTGAGAAAGGGCAGCCTGTGGACCTGAGTGCCATGCCCCCCACACCTGCAGGTCAGTATGGGGACTGGGGAGAACCTGTGGGGCTGGAGGCATGTTGCAGGGCTGGGCTGGTCAGGCACCTTCCCCTGTGCTTTGGTCCCCCTAGAACTGCAGCACCTTCCACAAGCTTCCAAGGACCCCATAGAACCCTCAGTGATGCCCCCAGCAGTGGAGCAAGCACAGCTGGTGAAGTCCCCCGACTCTGCAGCAGCCACAGGTAGGACAGAATGCTGGGATTGTAGCGAGGGCCTGGCGAGCAGCAGACAGCTGATGCCATCTCCTTCCTCCTCTCAAGTGACCCCTGCTGAGCCACAAACGGTGCTGGAGGCCTTGCAGCAGAGGCTGAACAAGTACCGTGAAGCTGGCACCCAGGCTCGGAGCAGTGGTGATGAGCGCAAGGCACGGATGCACGAGCGCATTGCCAAGGTATGTCCTCAACTCTGTGGTGGCTCGGATTAGCTGCTCTCTGTATCTGCTGCTACAGCCAGCGTGTGTGTGTATCTTGTTTTCAGGGTCCTTTTTCCTCCGGGGTGGGGGGAGGGGCTATCTTTACCAGTCTTCCTCACCATCTCTCTGTCTGGGGCCTACACACTGCTGTCCACCTTTAGGCTCCCTCCCTTTCCTTGCAGCAATATCAGGATGCCATTCGAGCACACCGAGCGGGGCGGAAAGTTGACTTTGCTGAATTGCCTGTTCCTCCTGGTGAGTGCAGGGGAGTGAGAGGAGCCACCAGAGACAGAGGGGGGAACAGATTAAAATACACAGTGGAGGGGAGCAGCGGGCAAGACAGGAGAGGTCTGCTGCGCCGTGTGGGTCAGCTCCTGGGCCAGGGACTGAACTCTGCAGTGGCTGTGGATAGTGTCACAGTGCTGCGCTTTAACCCTTTGAACCACCAGGGAGGGCCCACGGGGAGGTCTTTGAACCACAGCTTGGTAGGGCAGGAAATGCTCTCACATGTCTGCAACCACTGTAGCCATGCAGTCCAGCCAGGCCCTGGGTGCCCCAGCCAGGGCCCACAGCAGCCTCATGCTTCCCTGAGGCTGCCCCACTGCTGTCCTTGCTCCACAGGATTCCCGCCTATCCCTGGCCTAGAGCCCTCTGCAGGCACTGAGGAGGATGCGGTGGCAGCTACGTTAGCTGCTGCCCAGAAACTGGCCTCCTCAGAGGATACAGCCCCAGCAGAGGACGATGAGGATGAGGTTTGACTGAGGGTCCGAGACTCCAGGGGTTGGTGATGGGAAATTGCAGATAAGGGGTAAACCCAGGCCCTGTTGCTGTCGTCCATACCAGGAAACCCAGAGAGGGTGGTATTCTTCCGTTTTAGAGAAGGAACTTGGCTAAGGGCATCCAGCTACGAATGAGCAGAGCTAGAGTTAAATCAAGGTCTTTGGGCTCCAGAACCCAGGGTTGCTCCCACCTCCTACTTTCTCCTGCTGGGGAGATAACTCAGAACTTGTGAGCCGCCTTCCAGCTCTGCGGTTGTGGCTAGCCCATAAGCGGAAGCCATTATCTCTGGTCACACAGTGAATTAGTGCAAATTTGTAAGAAAAAGACCATGTGTGGGAGTTGCCAGGGCCAGTCTAAGAAACAGATCCCTTATGACACCTCCTGGACACCTGTAGGATGAGCCCCCAACTCAGGCCCCAGTGGCTAAGAAGCCAGCACAGCCTCTGGTCCCTCCATCTCGACCCCTGCCTGGGCCCAAGACATCAAGTTCTAAGGAGTTGCTGAGTCCCTCTGGTGAGTTTGCAGAAGAGGGGTGGAGAAGTAAAGGTTCTAGTCGGGGGCAAGCGTGGCTTTAACCAGTATCCCTCTCCCTTCAGTGCGGGAGCAGCTGGCATTGCTAGAGGCACGAAAGCTGCAGTACCAGCGGGCTGCCCTGCGGGCCAAGCGTGGCCAGGACCTGGAGCAGGCCAAAGCCCATCTGCGGGTAGCCAAATGCCTCGAGGCTCAGATCATTCAGGTCCGAGCTGGCCGACCTGTAGACCTCTCTAAGGTGAGTCCCACTTGGCTAAACAGCAGGCTCCTCAGGTGGAGGGGTGGGGAGCAGGCATGCTGGGAAGAGCATTTTGCATGCACCTGTCTCCCATGGCCTCAGGAGAGGCTGGGGAAGGCCAGCTGGGCAGGACAAGGTGAGAGGAGGCAGAGAATCACAGCAGTCTGGATTATGGGGCGGTCACGAGGGTGAGTTCCCCTCAAGGGAGGTTAGAAGCTGGGAAAACATTTAGTCAGGACCCCTGCGTTTGTTTGGTTCAATAGAGGAAAAATCTGACTTTTGGGGTCCCTGAGGGGCCTTGTGAACTGGGCAGGTGCCTTCACCCTTGACGGATGAAGAAGGTGACTTCATCCTCATTCACCATGAAGACCTACGGCTCTCCCAGAAGACTGAAGAAGTGTATGCACAGCTGCAGAAAATGCTTCTGGAGCAACATGAGGTCAGTAGCCGGGTGCCTGTCTTCCCCTTTCAGTGCACAGCGGCCTGGATTCAAATGGTAGCTCTTAGTGGCTGTGCGACCCTGGAAGGCATTTTCCCTCTCTGAGCCATCATAACATGGGATGAGAAATAGCCTTCTATTAGGATGGTTATGAATTCAGAAGATTTGAAGATACTAGAATTGTTAGGGGAGCTATATATGCATGTAGACATACAGGATTCCTTCTTGTTTGTCTCTCTCAGACTGCTGCCTGCAGTAGTGAAGTGATGGTGATGTAAATTCTGGGGAATGGCAAAATTTTGCCAAAACTTGAGAGCAGAAACCTTTGCAGACAAGTTTGAAAGATCTTGGGAACACAGACTTTGGGTTATGTATTAAGGGAGGTGGGATGAGACAACAGAAAAGGTTGGGACTTTGAGAAGTCAGTCCTTAAATACCTGCCAAGACAGGTTCTCCTCTGAAGTCACTCTGGGCCCTTGTTTCAGAAGTGTCTGCTATTCTCCAAGCAGTTCATGCACCAGGGCAACGTAGCTGAGACCACCCGGTAAGTACAAGGGAAGGTGCTTATGGGGAGCCGAGCAGAAAGCATGCCCTGCTGTGTTGACGCACGCATCCACCATCAGGTTTGAGAAGCTCGCTCAGGACCGCAAGAAGCAACTTGATATCCTGCAGCTGGCCCAGGCCCAGGGCCTCGACCCTCCCAGCCACCACTTCGAGTTGAAGACATTCCAGACTGTGAGGTGCCAGGGGAGACAGTGGCGCTGGGCTGGGCTGGGCTGGCTGCAAGGAGCTCTGGATAGGGGTGGGGGAGTGGGCATCACAGGCCAAGGCAGGAGGCCCTGGAAGAGGCGGCTCTTCCCCACCATTCTCCTTCACTTTGAGCTTGTTCTTCTTGCTTCTTGACTATAGGATCTTCGCAGACCTCAACAGCACAGAAATGCATCTTATCATTGTCCGCGGACTGAATCTCCCTGCCCCTCCAGGTAGCCCTAGGCCATTCCTTGTCCAGGAAGCCCTTGCCCAGACACTCCACCCCTAGCTCTCCCTCTGATCCTGGCTCCCGCTTCTCCATAGGGGTGACCCCTGATGACTTGGATGCTTTTGTGCGGTTTGAATTCCACTACCCTAACTCGGTGAGGTTCATTTCAGGTAGAGGTGGGATCCTCTGAACTGCCTCTCCCATTCCAGGACCCTGACCGCTTTCCCCGTAGTTAGGAGGTCTGGCTATATAGGGTGGGGTTTGAAGATTCTTCGACCCATTCCCTATGGGGTCCCTTCTTGAACACCCAAAATTCCTGGCCCTGATATACCTGTTGTTCTCAAGCTGTTCTGACTATGCCCTTCTCACTGCTTTAGGACCAGGCTCAAAAAAGCAAAACAGCTGTGGTGAAGAACACAAACTCTCCAGGTAAGGGCCCACACTAGGGCCACTTCCTGCTGATGTAACTCCCAGAATGCTGTTGGTCTACCTGGGGAAACTAAGCCTCAGAGAGGTGAGGACCTGCCTAGGATCTTATCAAGGAGGTGATGGCAATGGAACTTCGAGTCAGGAACCCTGACTTTCAATTCCATTGCCCATCTGACTTTGGTATATAAATCCCCAGCTCACCAAGGCCTGGTGCCCTCCCACCTTGCTGGCAGTCACCTGAATTGTGGGCAGAGGAAAGTGGAGGCTGGATTTGGGCTTTCAGTTTTCTGAGGAAATCCCAGGGAGCCAAACCCCTTCTTGTCTCCTACTCTTGCAGAATTTGATCAGCTCTTCAAATTAAACATCAACCGAAATCACAGGGGCTTCAGGAGGGTGATCCAGAGCAAAGGAATCAAGTTTGAAATCTTCCATAAAGGGTGAGGGTGGGGCAGGAGCGGGTGTTCGTGCCTGTACTGCTCAGAGTTCCTGCACTGCTCACGCCTTTGCTGACTCTTGGCTCCCCAGGTCCTTCTTTAGAAGTGACAAGCTGGTCGGTACAGCCCACCTGAAGCTGGAGCGGCTGGAGAATGAGTGTGAAATCCGCGAGATTGTAGAGGTAGGTTGGACAAACCAGAGGATGTGGCAGGAGAAGAGCCATCATTTATTGATCAGTGTAGGATTTTTACGCTCATCAACTTAAAATTCCTATAACTGTGCTGTTGAATAGATTCCATGTCATCAGTGAGGCGATATGGAGGGTCTGAAAGAGATGTCACAGCATCACCAAAATAGGAAACAGTTACATTCTTCACAGCACTCTCAGCTACTCTAATTCCCAGGAATGCTGGGTCAGAGGGCTCTGATCACAGCTGTCAACTCAGCATAGGTTTCTGGAGGCAGGTCAATTGTCTGGCAATATAATGTGGACTAACTGTATGTAAAGTTGGTAAGGTGTTCTCAGCACACGGTACTTACCACAGCAGTGGGGCCCCAGACAGTTCCTTAAACTTCCATGAACGCATTGGGCAGGGAGGAGCTGGAGTTCAGTGTTTTATAGGCCCCTCCCAGGCGGAGCTGGGCCCAGATCCCTGCTGGGGGTTTCCCCACCACTATGTCCCTGCCTGTCTGGGCCATTATTCCTAAGCAGGGCCTGCTCAGTATTGGCCCCACTTTGTGCATCAGCTGCTGGGTGCTGCCCTCGCCACGTAGTGGGGGGTGAGGTCTGTGGTTGTCTGGGGCAAAACTGAGCAGAACCCCAGGTTTCTCAACTCCACTTCAGAGCACTGATGCTTATTTAGACTTACATGTTACTTTTCAAAACTCACCTAAAACCACCAGCAAGCAGCAGACTGTTCTGAAATAGACTCGTGTTCACACTGCAGGCTCTCTACCTCCTCTCGCTCCTTCCCTGCCTTCCTCCAGCCCTGCCCACTTTAGTCCTCTCCTTTGTTTTGTGGTCCTCACAGGTCCTGGAGGGAAGGAAGTCCACGGGTGGGAAGCTGGAGGTGAAGGTGAGGCTGCGGGAGCCTCTGAGTGGCCAGGATGTGCAGACAGTCACCGAGAACTGGCTGGTTCTGGAGCCCAGAGGCCTGTGAAGTGGGTAACTCTCTGCCCCTTTCCTCTCTGCCAGGACCCTTTCAGTATTCCGTTTATAATCTGGGAGAAAGCCTAGGAATTTCCTGTTTCTGAGGAAGAGCAAGAGGGACAAAAATGTTGGGAAGGGTTTAGGCAGTTTCTCATGTCCCTCGGTAGAACTGGGGGGGAGATTACCCTTCCCAGGTTTGTCTTTAGGACATTCTAAAATTTACTTACACACTCCGTGCACTTTAGACTGACTGCTGTGCTTTGTGTCCCAGTGCAGCGGATGATTGACATCGGTGAGGAGTGAGCCAGCCAGTAATTGCAGGAATGTACTTTTCTCAGCTATTCCAGCTGTAGCTTTAGTACATAAAGAAGATGCTGCTACATAAGCACCAAAGACCTGTTAAGTACGTGAATTATTGACCGTCGCCCACCAAAGCAGGCTGGGTTCCTGGGCCCCTCCCCCTCAGCGTGGTGAAGGCAAAGGTTGCCCAGTGCTCTGTGCCATGGAGTCTTACTGCCCCTTAACCCTGTACCATTTCTGGATGTGCCTTTAAGAGATAGAACTATGGGATGGGAGCACTAGTGGGTGACCTGGAAACCGCGTACCTCAGGGTGGGCAGATTCCGTGACCAGTTGGCCGGTGGCAGCCTGGCTCTGTCTGTGCCTGGTTCTTGACAGCTGCTGTACCAGCCCCCCAGTGCTCTCCCGGAGGAAGGGAGGCTACATTTGGAGCCATGTTAAGAGAGTAAGAGCAAGGGGATTTGGTCTTTGCACCTGTTAACTAGAGGGGGAGAAAGTATATATATAATTTTATGTAGCCATTTTTATTTATTATTGAAACTAGAGTTGATTGAGCAAAGGTTTTACACTCGACACAGAGTAACCATCAGAGTCCTATACAAAAGTCCTGTTCCCTGTCACTTTAAAAAGCCAGAGTAGCAGTAACATTTGTTAATGGACAAAAGCTGCTACTTGGGCTTGTTTCTCTGAATGGATGGAGACAGTGGAGGGATTTGTGGTTTCAATAGATTTAATATTCAAAAACTACAGAATTCTACATTTCTTAGAAATAAACTTTTAACAACCCCATATCTTTTTTTTTTTTTCTTTTTTGAGACATTAAGTTTAACAAAGCATTCCTTAAGGTCATTTTTTTAAAGGCTCAAGTGAAGCGTATACATTCAGCATAGTGATCACTATAGTACTACGTAAGCACAGCTCAGGGATTCAGCTTTTGTTTCTATGCCCCCAACAGGGCTGGACCTTGCCTCCCTGCCCTTGAGAGCAGAGCTTTTAGTAGGTAACAGGATAGGGATGACAGTCAGATTAGTTTTTTCCCAAGAGCTTTCTGGTCAGCTTACTTACCTACTAGAGTGAACTACCAAAGTCCCATAGATGTGAATTTTAACAATTGCAGTCACATCTATATGTGGCAAACAAGCAGTAATCTAGAATGAAAAGCAGGGTTGTTAGCTTTTATAAGGTAGCCTAGATCAAAATGGGTGGCCAGGAAGGGTTGACCCTATTATTGTCCCCCTTAGGATTGATACCCAGCCTAGCACTTTCAAAGCTGCCCAGAGGTGGCTCAAAGATTCTAACTAGCCTAGAAATTTCTACTAAACCCCAGCTTCTGCTGGTAATGCCCTGCTGCAATTTGATAGGATTTTTTTGTGTGTGACTAAAGATTTTCCTTCAAAACCTGTTCGATTTCAGTCTCTCTCATTGTTCTTTGCTTTTTTGGAAAACAACTCTAGGCTGAGGGAGGCAAGTCAAAACCACCCACTGTACTTGGGAAACTGAGGTTCTTAAAAGGCAGCTATTGTAGCTAGAGCATGCAGGGGTCACACTAGTGGGCAGAGCCTGCGCCAGCCTCATCTTGTCCTAAGATTTGTCTAAATACAACAGCCAGACATCAGAGATTAGTTATGTGGGCAGTTGGGAACTGCCACGATTCAAATCACGCCTAAATTTTAAATTCTCTCTCCAAATAAATAGAAGGCACACTTTGTTCTGAAGTAGTAAACCGAACATGGAAGAAATTCATACTACTAAAATTCAAACTACTTTCTAACATTTTCCTTTCTTTTGTAACACCATTCTGAAACCTACTTTGTTGCTTCCAAATTTTGAGAGCTCATGTCTCAAATATGTGTGGGCAGCTTCTAAATGATCTTGCCCCTTCACCAGAGGTAGCTGCTTCAAGGCTGAGACTGGCGTAACCTGGAGCTTACACCTGGCTCAGGGCCACCACGGGTACTTTCACTTCTCTGGGCCTCAGTTTTGCAAGCTCTGAAATTAGTGTTCTTATTCCTGCTGTATTTCTCAATCCTTCTGGCCTACATTGTAGTCCCTACAAATTCCATTACCATTATTACATGTATCTTCGCATTATTATTAAAATAGAAAATACTAGCACAAATTTATAGAAAATGTTCAGCAGTCTGCTTATCGGAAATGTGCTAAGTACATAAATTATTCCCCATAAAACTAGTAAGACAGAAGTAAACTCAACCAGAAATTTTGTGTCCGCCAGTATTTAGAAATCAGTGTGGATGAGGGAAGACAATGGATGAAAACTTACATGGGGTAAGGTCCATATTTCCAAAGTCCTAGATTCCAGGTGGTATTTAGAAAACATTGGTAAAGATTAATGGGGAAACTACATTGGTGAGCATTTGCTAGGAATTAAGGAATTTTTTTTACAAATGTTATCAGAATAGTAATTCTATCTTTATAAGAATCTAGCGCAAATCTTCACATTTACATCCTACAGAAATTGCCTTAGTTGGAAATGTGATGTTTCAGCCTTTCATTTGAACTCTTAACAACACTAGTATATGAAAACAAAATGAAGCAGAAACCTGAACTAGCCTTGGCTATTTTATGCCCAATTCTACAGATAAATTTATTAAACAGAAAGGACAGCTGATGCAATTGAGATGCTTACACTGATCTGGAAGAAATATGTACACTGCCAAGGTGTATCTAGTTGGGTGGGAAGTTGACATCTATAGAAAGAGAACCCGCTCCTATGGGAGGGAGCTCCACACTCCCGAGTTTTATTTAGAGCAGGCTGGACAGCACACCCCACATACCTGCGCATCCTGTCCCTGTTGGGCTTGGGGTAGTGGTCCAAGGGTTCAGTCCAAACAAGCTGGTGTTCTGTGGACATTTTTTTTTACTCCCTGTAGAAGCTGTAACTACTCTAAGGAAAGTAACAGACCCAGTTCTCTAAAGCCACCATCAGCAAGGCCTATGAAGGCAGACGTAGAATGTGGATCTGCCTCCATGGAAAAGAGGTATAACATTAGCTAGACACAGGCTTTGAGCCTATTTGAAAAACCTCAGCTACCCACTTCCATTGCCCGTGATTGCCAAGTGCTAAGCCCAGCTTTAGCCACTGGGGAGCAGCCTGTCACACTCCTGAGGCCTGTATTAGCTTCCAGGGGATTCTCAGAACTGCTCTTACTACAGAACTGACTGGGCTTTCAGAAAACACTAGTGACAAGGGAGTGAGTTGCATTAGAGTGGTGTTTTTCAAATTGAAGTCTGTGCTCAAAATAAATTTAGTGGAAAAGAAAACTAACAGAGTGTATCACATATATCATGGGCAAATCAAGTCTTGGTTTCTAATACCACCTGCAGTAGAAGAAACCAAGGCTCCTTGGAGAAGTGTTAGGGCAGAGTAAGCACAATACGCCAAGAGCATGCTGCGGGTCAGAAAAGGAAATACTTGAAAAAATGATAAGCATGTTACAGTGAGTTAGGACTTAGCCCAAAGAGACTCTGGCCAAAGCTGAGGCTCCTTGAGCACCAAAGTAACATATTAGAACCATTCATGAGTCCATAATAAAATTCAGTTACTTAAAGGTATTTTTAAAAATGGAAAAAGGGCCTCTGCTTATAGATTACCAAGTACAACTGTAAATGGTGGTGAGAATGTGATAAGTAAAAACTCATTTTGTAGCCATAAGTAAAATTACAATTCACATAAACATCACTGAATGCTAAATCTAAGGGGAAATTTTGATGAGCAACACTTTTGCATGATCTAAAAGTGTATCTACATACACTGGTTATTAATTCCAAGAAGAAAAATAAACTGGAAAACTTGGTCACTATCTTAACCAAGTGATCAAAATTTGCCACCACCAATTCTTAGAAAATCAAACTTTGGTAATGATTTCACCACCACCGTGATAATGTGATGGGTAAGAACACCTGAGATGGTTACCAAAGTGGTCACCCCCAAAGAAACAAATGAAGTTGATAACATACCTTGAAGTCTAGAGTTTTTAAACTACTTACTCTAAGTTGCTTCTACAACAGAGAAAACAAGCATATACACATTTGAGTTTAATGTCTCTAGTATTGTATTTTTCTGTTGTGATTTTTATATTTGGAGCTGATGCAAACTCCTTGTTCCTTAGGAAAAAATCTGACTTTCCCGGTAGGTATTACTGGATTCTAATATAATGGCGACAGAGCTATAGAAAAGCAATGCATACCAAAAATCAGTATTTTTAGAATTGTAGAATTCAAGATACTCCACATTCCTTGAGACGGTGACTAGTGGAATTCAGCTAGTAAGGACACATTTGAAAAAAATTGTTTCCAAATTTCAGTAAACCAGTATAAGCTTAATTTGTATGCCTTATCCTTACAGTTACAGTTAAAATATTTACCTTCATCAATGAGTAGAATGTGGATATCGCGTGACCCCCACACAAAACGCTCTGAAAAGGATACCTCACTTAGGTAGGACTCTAGCCAAGAATGCATAAACTCATTCTAGTTATGAGGAGATGACCACTCAAATCCAAAATGAGTTACTTTATATTAAAAAAAAATAAGGGGGCATGGCAGAACCTGTACTCACCAAAAATATTAGAGACATAAATTCCTGACAGCTACTTATCACATCTGATCATTGGCTTGAGGCTTTGCTGGAGGACATTACAGGGTAGGTGCTAAGTTAAAAGTATCAAACCAAGGTTAAATTGAGAACCATCCTGTGGGCATAAGAAAATAGCATCAAAGGGTCCTCACTGGTGGCACAAGGGGTTAAAGCACAGCACTGTGAAGCTATCTGCAGCCATTGCAACACGAGTTTGATCCCCAGCCAGGGAACTGACCCACATGGTGCAACAGACCTCTCCTGTCTTGCACATTTCTCCCCTCTGCAGTGTTATTTCAGTAGATCTACCTGTTCTGCTCCCCACTCTGTCTGGTGAATGCTCAACCCCCACACCTCTGGCCTGCCTCCCAGTTCTTGTATGCATGCATAAATCTTTAAAAAAAAGAAAATAAAATCAAAGTATTTAGGTGTGAAAGTATATGCAATTTACATACAAATGCTTCACTTTTATGGAAAAAGAAAACAAAGCAAATGTAGCAGAAATCTGTGAACACTGGGTGAGTATGGGTAAAGCGTACACAGATTTTTGTGTGCTTACAACTGTCCTGGAAGTTTAAACTATCTCTCTATAACATGTATTTTAAAATACCTCTGGTGTATATTATAACTAAAAATATCTTGGTTGTATTTTGTTAGCTTTCGCAGAAAGGCCCAATTCATACTTGCCATGCACTCTGGCAAATGGTGAACTTTCTGAAATGGGGCTCTGCTAGCTAAGTGACTGTTTACACAGTTTACCTTGGGTAGAAAATAGACAATCCTTGGGTCTTTGACTCACGTCGATGAATAATCTGGTAAAAACAAGCAAAAAAATCTTAAGTGTGATTTCTATATGAAGACACTGGTGTGGAATTGTCCTTTTTATATCAACTCTGTACAGAGAGTGCAAAACTGATGCTTCATTTTTTATTTCCCCTCCGCCCTCCCCCCCCACCCTTGGTGATGGTTGTACCCATTTGAGCATTTCTGAGCACAAAACCATATGTAAGTCTTAAAATAGAGGAGCAGAATTCTTGTCTAGACAGTAACAGAGGGAGGGGATTAGCTGCAAGGATAGCATAACTGTTGTGCAGTAACAGAAGCTGCCCAGATCTTCTTGGTGGACAATGCATAGGAGACTTAGAATTATGGAACGTCTGTCCCCCCAACCACCCTTCCCCACCCCTACCTCCCCAACCACCCATTCCCACCCCACCCCCCATTAATAGTGTTAACAAAAGCTTAATCTTCCAGTTCTAAAGTGCAAATGATTTGGGTATGACTGCTGTTGCAATAGGTCTGAACAAAAAAAAAAAGGAAGTCCACTCTTTCTATGCGATGTTTTCCAGAATATAAAAGATGAGTTCCATGACGATGGGGCCCTCACTGAGCTGGCAGGCCCCTCCATGGATCACCGGCACCAAAGCGCTGTCCAGATCGTTCATGTACTGCGAAGGAAGGGGCTGGCTGTTGCTCCCTGCTTGATAGCCAACCTACACCACAAAAAGAAGGGGATGTTAGGTTATTGGATAGAGATCTTTCCAGAAGAGTGAAGGAGATTAGACATGAAAGGAGATCTTGGCCCGGGGCTGGTCAATGGCAGTGAACATAAAATTCTCCTTTTCACTGAACTGTTGTTTATCCTGTCATTTAAACGCCATCTGGTAGCTTAGACCTAGCACAAAATGGGTTAAAAGGACCTGTTTTGGTCTTAGCTTCCCAGGAAAAAGGCAGGAGAGCATGAAAGTGTCATAAAGAGATAGGGAATACCAAAAATAAACCTTTGGCTGTGAAAATTAAAATGAGAAATATACTAGGTACTACTCCCTACCAGAGCAGGAGATGAACACTCGTTCTTCCGTCCTTCCATTCACCCACACATTATTTTTGGAGTACTATGAACATAGGACTTAGATGATAAATACAATAGGGGCCCTTGCCCTCAAAGAGCTAACACATGTTCACCAAATAATGCCTGTTCTTTGTTTTTCATACGTTAATTCTCTCTCTCCAGTCATTATCAGTACCACTCAAGAAAGGACCATAATTCTTGATTATTTCAGTATGCTTAATACATCATTGGGTAGGACATAAGTAGAAAAGAAATACTTGTTGATTGATGACCAGTCAAGACATAGTCACATACATGATTTCACATTTTTCCCTGATAATATCAAAGTCCTGAATCAAAATAAACAATGGAACAAGTCACTAGGATCCAAAATCTTAAAAGAAATTAGAACAATGGGCCCTGGGGGTGGGGGCGGGGAGAGAGACTGTGTGTGTGTGTTTAGAGGTTACTGTTACAACTGAATTAATACTACAAATAGTGTCCAAATAAGTTAGAAGGAAGGAACCTGGTCATAGAAAATCCAAGCTGACAGGGGAATTCGCAGGGAAATCTCAAGTCCTATCCATTAACCAGCAGGAAATGTTGACAGAAACACCTTGAAGACAGGGGTCAGCAGAAAGCTTTAGTGGAACTGAGAAAACAACAGGATAAAGCACAACTTGGGGTCTGTTTTCTGAGAGAACCAGAAAAATTCCTGAAGGGGAGGGGTCTCAAAGAGCCGCAGCATTCAGACAGAGCAGGTCCTCCTGCAGTCCTCCCCCCTTCACCTCACACTAAAAGTAAAACCAAGTCCTTACAAGACATTCAGGTGAAAAACAAAGGTTCAAGTGGCTGAGAAGCTGACTAAGCAAGGACACCACTGAGGGAAGTCAAAATACAACACCTGACCAGGTCTTGAGGTGCAGAGAATCAACATCTCTTAAGTTGATGCAGGAAACTCACATGCCAAAAACACAGACAGCCTAGGGCCAGCTTCAAAGGCTCCCTAAGACTCTTCTTACCTGAGGGCTCCCTGGTGGCTCAGGTATGTGTGTCCTGAGCCCTCCCTGGCAACACAATGGGTTAGTTCACAGCACTATAAAGCTGTCTGCAGACACTGCAGCAGGAGTTTAATCCCAGGCAGGGAGCTGACCCATATGGCACAGAAGACCTCTCCTGTCTCTCCTGCTGCTCCCTCTTCCTGCCTGTTCTGCTCCCAACTCTCTCCAGAGAATCCTCTCATCCCACCCCCATACCTCTGGCCTGTACCCCAGTTCTTGTCTGCATCAATAAATAAATCTTAAGCCAAAAAAACCATCTTCATACCTGATCTGAGTCAAGTGTCACACGTAGTCCCAGTTTAGTCATTCCATCTTCCTTCAGGAGCTTCAGGTGCGGACAGAGAGCAAGACAAAAAGCCTTGGCGACGTGTTCAGTCAGTCGGCTGTGATCTGCAGGGTCACTCAGGCAATTGTGCTGGTCATCATTTTCTAGGAAGAACACCTGTTCCCCAAACAAATGAGATTCAGCCTTATGCCCAGGAGACATGCAAATGAGAGAACAAATGCACCAGCTTCCTGTTTATGAGCACCCTGAGCCAGAGATGTGCTAGAAAGCCTACCTGCTGACAGCCCACCTCCTGGCCATGGTGGTTACGGAGTGTTCTACTGGGAACTAGAAAGGCTTTCATTTCGCACATTCACTTCTAAAAGATAATCCTTTTATGTGGATGATTTTCTTAGAAAATGATCTTAGAGCCTAGCAGAACAGCCTTTGTAGATTATGTGAGCTAATCCTTCATGATATGAAGCAATAGAAGGAAGATTCACTCAAGTGCATAGATGTAGTCAGAGACAGAGGCCAGGCCAAATGCAGAACCCGAGTTTTCTGCCTCCTATCAAAGGCCAAAGATTCCCTGCTTCAGGGCCCAGCCACTGCTGAGGCCAGAGCTATGTCTGTCCTCACACCACACTGACCACGTACTGGGCACAGGCAGAAGCACAGCAGCTTGGAGCCGAGTCCCAATCACGAGGAGGGGCAGGAACAAGCCCTGGGCATTCTGAATGCCTTTGTAAGATAGAAATCCCCTGTGCTTTCTGGTTACTATACAGAGGAAATAATAGAAAAGCAAAATGTAAAAGATACACAATGTAAAACACATACCAATCCCCAGCATCTCGCTTACTGCTCAACAAGTAGCTCACCCTAAGAAGACAAAGGGGTGGCTCTGGCGACGGGTGAGGAGCAGCACAAGGGACAGCCCTTGGGCTTGGGTGGGGGCCCAGTGCCTCCAGCCTGCGCCACCAGGGCCACTAAGGGCAGATATGACAGAGCTACACCAATTCTTTGAGTCTGTTTTCTCATTGTATAAATGAGCTCCATCTCCCCCACTGCGTCACTGGGTCAGCTGGGAGCAAAATGGAGGTCAAACTATGTTCTGAGGTATGAAGAGGCTTTTACACGTTCCAGACACTGCACTCAAAATGTCTCACAGAGATAATCACTACAAATTAAGCAGTGAAGGCTACTGAGGTTCAGAAGGAAATAGCCTGGTGTGAAGAACAAGTCACTTAGAACATAAAGCTTGAGAAGTGGAACAACAGACACTGGTGTCTATTAGCAGGAAACAGCTCTGACCTCAGTCAAGTACCTCAGTCTCTAGGCCTCAGACATCTTATGTGGAAAATGGAAAAGCTAGCAGTCATTGAATTTTTTTTTAACCAAGATTCTTAATTTAAAAAAAGAAATGCTGGGGAGTTTATAATTCATTGCCTTATTTTATAAAAGAGTATGAAGTTCAAAAGACATTAAGAAACCCAGGACCTTATTATTCCAAGAATAAAGTTTCTGGGAGTTCCTCTCATCTCCAGGTTAGGCTATAATACAAAATTTTCAAGTTCAGGTACAATATAGTGGAAAAGAACTTAGGGGTCAGCCAGATCTGAATCTGAATCTGGGCTTTTCCATTACTTACTTGCCTTATAATCTTGGATAAGTTACTTGGTCTCTGAGCTTCAGTTTGTATTGGTGAGATTAGTCTAATTTTTCAAGTCTGTTATCTAAGACAGGTTTTAACTGTGACTGCAGCAAAACCAGTGCACACTGAGGTATATAGCAAAGATGGTGTGTTCCATTCAGAGGTGTAAATTCAATGCAAACAAACCTCTGGATCTAGTTCACAGAAAGGCGACATCAGGTTACTGCTGTCCATACTTGGCAGCATTTCATGCCAGTGAGCTAACACATAGCAGAAGGAACTGAGGTATAAGGTAAACAGGTTTTCTCCTATCTTCTACAAACAGTGGAGTATTTCGCTGGGTCTAGTGAAAAGCTGTGCTCCAAGGGGGTCACTTTCAGTTCCTCACCTCTGTCCATCTGATGACTTTTCCATTTGCTTTATACTCTGATCCGTGGAATATCTTTACACTTGTTATAGACTCCATGGATTTCCCATCTATAGGACTTAAGACACTAAAAAAAAAAAAAAAAAAAAAGGCAAAGGGAAGAGACTGAGTAACTCTTGATATTGGAGCCACTTCTTTTATCAAGTCTTGCTATTGTAGTTGGTGCCTCACCGTGAAACTCAACACAGTAAGAAACCAGTACACAAAACTACGCACGAACAGAGCTCTCCCAGAAGAACCTCACTCTGAAATAGTTCAGTGACCACATAGGAAACAGGAGCCAATATTGCAGGCGCTGGTTCTCTTTCACATAAAGGAGTTGTTCACCCAAACCTTTTCTTCTCTTTTGCATTCATTTTTTTCTTGGCCACTGGTCAATCCTGCCCTATCCTCCACTGTCACCACTTTCTACTCCTGACTCCGTGTTAATACAGCACGGTGTACTCTCTACTTGACTGCACCTCTGTCTCACAAATGAACTTCTGAAGGTGAGGGGATATGGACTACTCAGCTACGGTGCTATATTCCAGTATAAACAACCTGTTTGGAACTTGGGGCTTAAATAAACGTTATTTGACTAAAAGAATTTTTGACCAAGTGTGTTCATTATGATAGTGCTGATGTGATCTGATAAAAATCTATCACAACAAATTCCCTTCAGTGCTAAATCATCACAGCCAGGATCCTAATAGAAAAGCCACTTTTTATGGTCATTTCCTCTCTGAAGGGTAAATAGATATACACATTCATTCTGATGGGGATTAAAAATAAATGGCATAAGACTACAAACATTTCCTATTTTCAAACCTGTTAATTTCTTCTTTAATTTCTATTTGTGAAAGATCAAATGCAACAAACTTCCACAACATTAGTGGAACTAAACATCAACATCACTTCATTTGCTTGAATTAAATACTTAAAGAACACTAAGTGTAACTTCTAACTCATCAGACAACAATGTCAAAGAAAGGGCGACCTTTGTTCCCTACCACTCTTGAGAGGGTGCCCAGAGAGAGGGAAGAGCATCACTGTGCATCAGGTTTTCAGATTATCAAACTTTTTGGCCCTAATAACTATATTTATTTCCCCACTATAATAAAGAATTAAACACAAATTCATTCTGAAATTAAGTATTCCAGTGAGGAATGAGAAGATACAAGGTTATTTGTGTAATAGGCAAATTTACCCACTGATTAGGTTGCTTCTTTCTGCTCAATAATGAAAGTTCATAAATCTCTTTTTTTCTTTAACTGGTATTTCATGATCTGCCTTTGCTCCTCTTACTCCTTCAGATTCTACCACAGGTATGTGGCAAACACCTGCATCCTCTTATCAAATTCAGCTCCAACATCAGACATCTTTCTGTGAAGTCCTTCTGGAATACTAACCTACCACCTCCATCCAGCTTCCTCTCTTATCTTCACTGTATCCCATCGAATTTTCTATGAGTGTCTTCCATACTCTGGTGCACTTATTTGTAACTGTCTTTATAACGAGACTGAGCCACTTGTCAGCAGGGATATGGAATTCAGGGACATGGGGGATTCTTTTTTTCTATTGCTAGTGTTCTGCGTGAACGATGGACAGATGGATGGATAAATGAATGAATGAATGGGAGAAAACCTAACTCAATGGAGTATGGTCTCATTTGGACAGTTTTTTAAAGTACCAAGTATGTACTAGACTGTTTTAGTGGTATAGCAATAAGTAAACCAAAAATACATAGAGCTTACATTTCAGGGGGAGTAAAATAAATAGGTAAAGATACAGTGTCAAGAGTCACCAGTGGTCTGAAGAATATAATGCATGGAGAGCAGGGTAGAAATGTGGGGCTGAAAGGGAGGAAATGTGTATGAGAGGGTTGTAACGTACACAGCCAGAGAAAGCAGCATTTCAGAAAAACTTGAAGGTAGGAGGGAGTGACACATATGCTATCTAAGTTCAGTGTATACTGACAAAATGTCAAAGGCCTGAGGCAGGCAGGTGTTAAGTTCATGGAAGAAGACAGGTAATTCCTCCTAAAAAGTAACGGGGTACAGGGAGGGGTGCAAAGAGTGTGGAAGACCTTAAAGGTCAGAAAAGACTTTGACTTTTCCCTGAGTGATAGTGGAAGCCAGTGGTGGGTTTTGAGTGTAAGTGACATTCTGACCTCTCAAATGGAAACAGAACAGGTAGGGGGCGGGGAGAATAGAAGAGGAAAAACCAATTAGGAGACTATTACAATTGTACTGACTAAACAATGGTGGCCTGAAGTAGGATGGCGACAGTGGAGATCGTGAGAAGTAGCACAATTCTGCAAACATTTTGAGGTAAAGCTAACAGGGTTAGCAGGGTTACTGCTGGATTAGGTGTAGGACATGAGGAAGAGAAACATGTCAAAGAACACTCAAAGGTTTTGGCTTGATCCCTAAGAACAAAGCTGCCATGTCCTAGGAAACAGGATAGGACTTGAGGCCAAAGGAGGAGGTCTTAAGTCCTAGTCCTGTAATTCCTAGCTTTATGCAGTCATTTAGTGTTTGGGCACCTGTTTACTCACCTATAATATGGAAATAACAAAACTGGTTATTATATCAAGTGAAAGAATTATCAAATGAAACAAAACATTAGCAAAAGTGTTTTATAAGCTGTAAAGGCCTAGGCACCTGCCATTACCTCTAGAACTTAAGAGAGGTTGAACTGTCAACTCCTGCCCTCTTTCTCCTCAAAAACATGAATAGCAAAGGCATGCTCATAACTACGACGTCACGGGGAGGTGGGAGTGGCTGCATTTACCCCTTATTGACGTTCTTGTCATCATCTACCCACTGGATGTGGATGTGCTCCTGGGGGTCCTCAGCCTCTGCCTTCCCACAGGTGACGGTGAAGTCCTTCATCTCCCGCAGCGCCTGCCTCAAGGCGTCCATGCTCTCTGCGGTGATCTGGACCATCACGCCATCTGAGAACCAGCACCAAGACAATACAGATGGAAACAACACTAAGCCACGGAGAAGGGCAGATGCAACATCACTATAGAATTAAACAGAAAGCTTTGCTCTGCTCTCTAAAACTGACAGTCACAAAAGCTTTGTTCTCTGAGCTGAATTTCTTACTTACTCAAAGTGTTAAGGAGAGTGAACACCAAGGAGGGCTCTCCTTGAAACACCGCCTGCTGACTTCACTTCACTCACAACTAAGAGTTTCTTCTGTGACTGTTCAATGGGAAACCCCACACATGGCCACATTCAAAAGAATCGTGTTCCTGTTTCCATGCTTGCATTTATCATGCTGTAATCATACTTATTTATTTGCCTCTCAGTTGTTCTCACCTACTATTCTATTTTAAGCTGCTATCTACCTAAGTCAAATGCAAACACTGAAATGGAAGGTGAAAGTTGTCACATGCTCAGCAGTTACCCTGCTTCAGGGACACAAAACCCTGTCAGCTAGAATAATGCTAAAGCGCTTCAATGGAGATTTCATAAACTGACATAAACTGCAAGACCTAAGATATTCTTAACCCCCAGACACAAACCTTTTAAGCACATGCTTTGTATTTGCAAGAGGCCATCAGTTTTGAATTTATTGTACGCATATTTATATGGTATCTTTATAGCATCTTATAAAGACAATCTCAAAAGTAGTCAATACTTGGTTGTAAAGGAATCAGTCAGTGAAAACCCAGTTTATTCCTAGATTTCTCTAATTTCTGAATAGCACGTTTCTGCTATGTAGTCAGAGTTGTGAAATTTAATTGTAGATATATTACCATACTCACTGCTTTATTAGGTTCACCAACTTAACCTGACTTCCTTAGTAAGGAGACCAAAGCCAGTATCCATTAACATATGTAAGATTATACATTTCAACTAATACTGAAGTCTATCCTCAAAAAGGATGCTTTTGAATAGAGTCTTGGAGTGAATTATTGTGAAGTAATAACCTGTCATTACAGTGTGGCAGACAGCATTTCTGATTGACCCCTTACCTTCCATCTCACATACTTTTCTACAAAACTGCCTTCCTACCCCTCCATCAAGAACTGGAGTCGGGGCCCTCCCTGGTGGCGCAGCGGGTTAAAGCACAGCACTAAGAAGCTTAAGTCACTTCTGCATGAGTTCGATCCCCGCCGACCCGGAGGAAATCCACATGGCGCAGCAGACATCTCTTGACCCGCCTGCTGCTCCCCTCAGCAGTGTACTACTTCAATCTGCCTGTTCTGCACCTCACTCTGTCTCTGGTGAATCCTCTCACCTTCCGCATCTCTGGCCTGTACCCCAGTTCTGTACAAATAAATAAATCTTAAAAAAAAAAAAAAAAAAAAGAACTGGAGTCGGGCCTTCCTGGTGGCACAACAGGTTAAGCCCAAACACTCTGAAGCTATCTACAGCCACTGCAGCACAATTCTGATCCCTGTCCAGGGCACTGACCCACATGCCAGCCTTCTAGTCATCACAACTGAGGCTCCACATTTGACTGAGGAGGATCAAGCCAACCCTGAACTGCTCTGCAAAGACTTCTGACCTAAAGAGATACGTGAGCATGAAATAATAGTTGTGTTAAGCCATTAAGTTCTGGGTTAATTTGTTATACAGTAAAAATAACCAGATCAGAATACAGAATAACTGAAAGAAACAGTGCTAATTAGCCTTTCATTAACTTTCATTTAATTAGCTTTTGTCAGGACATGTGTCAGCTCTAGTTATAGAGAACCAGTAGCAAGCACATTCCATTTTGTACCCAAATGGTGACTGCAGCATTCTTGTGGGTGAGGATGACCGCATCTTGCAGTCAATGACATATTTGAACTCAGACTGAGTCCCTTCAGGTGCTTTATCCCAGATCTCTGTAAGTCATCTCTCAATATTTCTGTCTCTGTCCTATAGGTTTCTCTACCATTTCTTTTCTTTTGGAGAATTACACGCCCATATGACAGTTTTAATTAGTTGAAGAGTGATATACTACTGAGTAACAGTAGGAGTCAGAAGTCTAGCAGAAGCATCATGGTTTCCCTTAATGCTTTTCAGTATACTATTAGATTTGAACCAATATATATGCACCAAATAATACATTCTTTACCTTCTACTATACTGGACTTGGCAAGATATCCTGAAGAGGATTTCAGAGCACCGCTGAAGACAAAGAAACTGGCACCAGTGACTAAAACAAAAATAGAAGCTGTTTAGTGATGGCAGATCCTAAAATGAAGGGACTGAGAATAATTTTTAAAAATTGACAGCCGGGCCCTCCCTGGAGGCGCAGCAGGTTAAAGCACAGCACTAAGAAGCTGAAACCACTTCTGCATGAGTTCGATTCCGGCCTGCCCTGGACGTGACCACATGGCGTGGCAGACCTCTCCTGACCCGCCCGCTGCTCCCCTCAGCAGTGTACTTCCTCGATCTGCCTGTTCTGCTCCCCACTCTGTCTCTGGTGAAGCCTCTCGCTGCCCCTGCACCTCTGGCCTGTACTCCAGTTCTGTATGTACAAATAAATAAATTAATTAAAAAAAATTGACAGTCATGAACAATTACAGAGAAAATAAAAAATACTAATTCTTCATTCAATAATATAAAGCACCAATAATTCATATGCTACAACAGCTTTGGGAATGATGTTTAAAGACACATTCCCCCATGCTGTTTTGCTCTTTCTCTAATCAAATGTTTAAGAATCTTGCATGCAAAGGGATCTTCAAGGTCAAGTTAGTTTGAATGAAACAGAACCATGTCTATTCATTTACATACTAGCTTTGGATATTTTTGAAGATGATGCCAGATTTAAGTAGTTGGCAACAAAGACCACAGGCATGCAAAGTCTAAATTATTTGCAAACCAGCCATTAAAAGGCAAAACTCGCTGATTCTTGATCTAACTCATTAGTTTCTAATTTTTTTTAATTGAAGGTAATTTGAAGATGGAGATATGACTGCCAACTCTCCTACTTACCAAATGGTTCTTAAACTCTGATGTGCATGTGAATCACACGATTTAACAGCGATCGTGTTAAAATGTGTAATCTGCTTTAGAAGACCTGGTGTGCAGATCCTTCATTTCTAACAATCTCCCATATGAAGACACCACATTCTAAGTACCACTGAACCTAGAAGCCTTCCTTCAGGGTCCTGTGACCCTAACATCGAACACTGTTTGGATCTGGCCATTCAACAAGCTCCAAATGTACCTAAGCCTTCTCTGACTGCAGGACCCAGTTACAGACCTACTTTGGCGCATTCTATACCCTGAGGCAAGGTTTTCAAACGTTCCCCTCAATTTAGAGAGATCTCATTCCCAACTCTGAGCCTGGCAACTTGGGGAGTCCACACAATCTTGGAGGATTATACGGATTAAAAGATCAATCAAATTGTTTGTGGTCACCTATCTAGAAAGTGAGGGTTATGAGGCTGAGAGAACCAAGTTGCCAACCTTCCACTCTCATGTCTCAACCAACGCACTCACTCACCCTTTCTGGGCTGATTGTGAATACTGATAGCCTGGGTCTGATAGTTTCCGTCGTCATTCTGTACACACACCAAATGGGAGTCTGCTTTCTCATTGAAGCAGGCACCTCCTGCCAGCACGTGCTCATTGGACTTGTTCATGGCTTTCATCATCTGCAATGAAAGAATAGGTCAACATAGCTATTCTGCCAAGAATGGGCTGTTACTTATTTTTGGTATGACATGGCACAACTCTTACCTTCTCCAAGTATTATCATTAAAGTGAGAAAGGGGCTACCAAACAACAAAAACAAAGTGAAGAATCAGTCACTATTAGCAAAAATAATAGCTAGATACAGAAATTCCCTGCATAGTTTATAGGAATTTGCATTACAACCTCATAAGCACATGACACATTTCACATTACTTTTGTCTTTACTGTTGCACTGAACTCAAATAGCTAAAAGTACTTTAACTGCAGTAGTTTCTCCTATCCACTGATTCTGAGAATATATTTATACTGAAATTCTTTGTAAAAGCATGTTCCTCCTGCAGAATTCTGAAGGATTTGCACTGAATCTATAGATCACTTTGCACAATCTCAACATCTTAACATTGGCTAAGATGTTCTATTCCAATCCATGAACATGAGATACATTCCCATCTACTTAGCACTTCATTCATTTCTTGCAGCAATGCTTTGTAGTTTTTAGGGTACAAGTCTTTCACTCCATTGATAAGACTTATTCTTTGGTATTAACAGAATTCTACCATCACCTTCTGGCTTTTACTTTGTAATGATTATAATTCTTGCAAAGTCAATCTTTTAACATATTATTATATCATCAGAAGCATCCAAAAAGCATTAAATATTCTTCTCACACAGACATTCATTAATTTTACTAATCCAAACCAGTTCTGTCAGAATTTTCCAAAGATTATGTTTATGTAGTTTTTGCAAAGAGGATAAAGCAGCTGGAAGATTATCACTTAAAGAAGTCAAATGATAGACTAATTTAGATTCTCATTTGCAATTTACATTTGTATCACATGAAAGAAACTGATGTAACAACAGAAATTTTAGACTGTTCTATCTATCATTTCTTTCAAATCATTACGCTACAGTGGTTTCTAATTCTGCTTACACTAAGCAGATTAAGAGACATGTTGAATAAATTGGTGTCTAAGGAAATCATCTCCCTGTGTGTCAATCCAAGTTCAGAGTAAACAAAATTCATATTCCCTAAAAAAAAAATTTTAAATAACATAATAGTTTATTTTTACATCATTTTGTGCCTTGTTCCATCTCAGTTGTAATCCCCATGGGTTTCCCATCACCAAGTCACCCTGTGCCATCACCACAATCCAGTGCACTTCTCTTCCTCCACCGTTTTTGATACTATTCCCCACTCCACTCCTATAAAATATCTCTGGTATATAGTTGTTTATTATTATATTTTTTTCTTCAAAATTTAATGAACACAGCCCTGGGAGCAGCCTGCCCAGGAATAGGGGTGAGGGAAGACCCCCCCACAAAAAAAAAGAATGAACAGATTTTTATTCTTTTAAAATTATACTCATTTATACTAAGGAATTTCCCAGATACCTGAGGGACCCTGCTGACCATAAAATAAATATACTCGTTATTTATTTTAGCCACATAAAATAAATATACTTGTTATTTATTTTAGCTATGCTATTTCTCTATCAACTCAATTCCTATAATAGTTTTCATATCTATCCCTATCTTTCCCAAAGTACAGCCTAACTACATCTTTTGCAGATACATGCCTTATAGCTGGTTTTTCTACAGTCTTTATCATTTCTAATTTATAGCATACAATGTTTTCATATTTACCAATACACAGCCATGAACATGTCACACCTTTTCCATCTTGCCTACCATTTGCCCTTCATTCATGATCACAAGCTTCCTAGGCTCTAGCCCCAAGTTGTTTTCCCAGCTTGCTCCCTTCCTACCATAACCTTCTACTTACTACTGTACCACCATTTCCCATCTCTGAGCTTCTGTATATGCTGTTTTTTCGCCTCCCTTTTCTTCTCCCATTTCCACACAACTGGAAAAGGTGTGCCACCAAATCAAGGCTTAATAAAAGCATCAATCCCTGCATGTAACTTTTGCAAATTACCACTCAGATACCAATGTGACCACTCCCTTCTTTGAACTGTTATTGTACAGCCTTGTGTTTCTGATGTGGTATCACCCACATTCAGCTTGGGATAATGATTAACAGCAAAGACTCAGATGGTCTGTATTTCAGTCCTGGTTTGTTGATTGCTAGCTTTGTACTGTGAGCAAGTTACTTGAGTTCTCTGTATCCTAGTTTCCTCCTATCTAAAATGGGATCATAAAAGTAAATATTTCATACAGTTATGAAGATTAAACAAACCAGAAAGCACCAAACACATAAGCATTGGTTAAATGTTAAGTAAAATTTGTATGCTTGTCTCCTACAACCTGCTTATGAAATCATAAAGCAGACTTAAAATTAGCAAATAATTCACCAGAGTGCTTAGGGAATAAAGGAATTCAGACCCTTCCTAAGAGCTCACAAATTAGTTACAATGACATAATGAAAAATGGTGGTTAACACCTAAGGAGTGCCAACCAGGAGCTAGGCACTGAGTTAAAAGCTACAAGGTGGAAAAAATTTTAACATGTCAAGTAAAAAAGTATATAAGCTTCATCTTCCATGTATCTCTTCTATTCCACACTTGCATCTAGTTATACGTGAAAATCATAAGAACCAGTTAATATAATGTAGTTTTAGGAATGACTGTACTGTAGGAATGGATGAGGAATGATAAAATCTAATCTCTCTCTGAATTAACATACAATGCCTTTCAATTTCCTTTGTAAGATCTCATGTTTTTTTCAAAAAAGAATTTATTTAGCCTTTTGATGTCAACTAGAAAGGACCTAGAGAAGGAAAGTAAGCAGGGCACTTAGGAACAGCTGTGTTAGCAGGGCCTTGTTGTGGTACTCAGTAAACATTTGCTGAAGTTATCAACTAGTAAACCATATAAATAGGTAAGGATTGGAAGGGTTTGTCTTAATCATAGAGTTACAGTGAAAGGAAATGTTAGTATGATTAAAAAAACTTTTTTTTGGTGCACTTATATTGTACTGTCACACAGATTAGCTAATACAGTACAGTAATTTTTTTTTTAAGATTTACTTAATTATGCATACAGAATTGGGATACAGGCCAGAGGTGCAGGGATGGTGAGAGGATTCATCAGAGCCAGAGTGGGCAACAGAAAAGGAAGACTGATAAAGTACACTGCTGAGGGGAGCAGGGATTAGCTTAATCTAGACACATCAGGTGGGAAGTAAGATGCTCAAGACTACAAAACAGGAGAGACTGAAATGAGAGGAAGACACCAGTATACAGATAGTATTTAAGGGCAGAGCACTGGAGAAATACAAAACTGAAAAAGAACTAAGGTCTGTGTTTTCTAGAGTGAGTGAGAAATGGGGTGTCACAAAGGGAAATATACAGGGACAGACGTTAATTGTGGGAAATGAGAGCTATCTGAAGAGTCTTATGGCGTCTTGTGATACTTGAGATTAGACGAGATCTAATATGATTTGAAATGGTGATCTCAAAGCCAAAAGTGGCAGCGAGGTTGTAAGCACAATGTCCTGGGGCCGCTGCTCATGCCAGTCAATGAGTAGGACTGGAGGAAACACAATCTCATATCCGTATTGCACATTCAGCAGTGACCTTCTATTGCAGTCAGGACTCCAAGGCAGCAAGGCCTCCTTAAGGATCCTTTCATTCTAATTTGAATCTAGGGATAAATACTGCCTTTACATATAATTACAGGAGTTTCTACATCAATACCAATAGTCAGTGGAAAATCACCTCCCTCCTCTACACTATTCTCCAGAGCCCTGTTCACCAACTCCTTTTATCCTCTGGAAAAAAGGATATCATTACTTCTCAGCCATTTGGCTAAGACTGTGTGTGAAAAAAAGGGGTATCAGCTCCTCCTATCCCCTAAGAAAAAAAGAAATGTATTCCTTGAAGGCCAGAAAATAAAACATTCTTCAAATAGATTTTAGGACCATCTGTTCTTGCTAGTGCTATAACAAATCTCTGAAATCATGCTTTTGTAACTTCACATTTTTCTGAAAAATAGGTGATTTTGAATTAAAATAAACCCAACCTCTTATTTTAGAGTCTCAGAGTGGAAAAGAATCCCAAGAGACCATTCAGCTATATAAATTCGGGAACTGTACAGATGTACAATTTCAGGTTCTAGCATTATATCACAATCAACACAAACATCTCTTACTCTTGTCTTAGTTTTGAGTAAAAGGTTAGTGAAACTTAGTTTATTCTGGTTGAGATTATATTCTTCCAGTGACCTGATAGCTGGAAGTCCACTACATTACTACAAAAAAAAAATTTTATATTTAAAATAATTAACATAACGCAGTATTTAGAGTATACAATTTGATTAATTTTGACTTGAATATATATATACCCCTGTCAAACAGCACAGGAAATGACTATTCTAGTCCACTCATCTAAACATATATTTATTCCAAAACACAAAGTCTTGATTAATATGCCTTTAAAATAAGCCAAAACATTAGGTAGTAGAGTATAAGAATTATGTTGTTTCAAATTGTTTTGGCTCTTCCATGTCCTTCGCATCGCCATATAAATTTCAGAATCAGCATCTCAATCTCCACCCAAAAAAAGACTACCGGTATTTTTTACCTTGACATGGGGGTCATTTGGCTTTTTAAACTTCACCACAGATGTTGGCAGGGCAGAGGGAGTCCACTTCTCAATTGTTTAGTCATATTCATTTGGGAGGCTTTTTTGATTTTAAATACTGAATCTGAATTTTTTCCCCAAACCTCTACCATGTCCTTCTCATCTCTACTTTTCCTCTAGAAAGCTTTATTTTTATTCTTATTTTACAAGGAAGTGTGTAAAGTTAGAATTATCCTAAATGCTCATGAAAATGAGAAGCAATACAAGTTCACCAAATGAACAATAAGTATGAATAGCTATAATTACAGCAAAAATAAAAGTATATCATTTATGAATAACTATAGTATCACCAGGAACAACCCTAGTTAATTTGACACATAAACTGTCTTAAATGTCACGAGAGCCTTATAAGGTAGGCAATCCTCATCTTCCAGAATAGAGATGAAGTAAACCACATACACAACACAGTGAGAATTTAAAAGTCAACCCAAGGTCTATTTGATTCCAAAGCCTGAGTTTTTGTCTTTGTACATTTATGATCTTAACATACACATTAAAAATCAGTCACATATTCACTTCTCCAAAGAGGAAATGCAGATGGCCAACAAGCATATGAAAAAATGTTCAACATCACTCGTAATAAGGGAGATGCAAATTAAAACCACAATGAGATACCACCTCACCCCAGTGAGAATGGCACATCTTCAAACAACTAGCAACAACAAATGTTGGCGAGGATGTGGTGAAAAAGGAACTCTCCTGCACTGCTGGTGGGAATGCAAACTAGTACAACCACTATGGAAAACTGTTTGGAGGTTCCTCAAACTGCTAAACATGGAGCTTCCCTATGACCCAGCAATCCCACTCCTAGGTATCTACCCAAAAGACACAAAAACACTGATTGAAAAAGATACCTGTATCCCCACGTTTACTGCTGCTTTATTTACAATTGGAAAAACATGGAAGCAGCCCAAATGCCCAAAAGTAGATGACTGGATAAAAAAGATGTGGTACAGATATACAATGGAATATTACTCAGCAACCAAAAAAGAGAAACACATGTCTTTTGCAGCAAGTTGGATGGAGCTGGAAAAGATCATGCTTAGTGAGATAAGCCAGAAAGAGAAAGAAAAATACTGGATGGTTTCACGCATAGCAGGAGTATAATGGACCAGGTGGAAAATAACAAAAATAATGAACAACCATATACCAGAGACATTTTGTGGGGGTGGAGTGGGGAATGGGATCAAAAACGGGGTGGGGGGAGGGAAATGCATGGGATTATGGTGATGGCACATGGGTGACTTGGTGATGGAAAACCCGTGGGGATTACAATTGAGATGGAAAAAAAAAATGTACAAAATGATGTAAAAATAAACTTTTGTAATTAAAAAAAAAAATCAGTCACATATTAAGAGATGCCATATAGGTTAAGTCTAGTTTTACTGTTCCACAAGATTCAGTATTTTACTAGACATACTATTTCTAGCAGTGATCTAACTATATACTATACATAATGGAACCACATTGAACATAATTTTTTTGAATGTCACTTAGCTGGTTCTAATAGCTCCAATACATTCTCCAGACAAAAATATAATTACTTTAAGTCATTAGCCCTAAAGTCAGAATAGTAATCGTTAAACTGATGTCTATAAAAATCAGTTTTGGGGCCTTCCTTGATGGTGCAATGAGTTGGAGCTATGAAGCTATCTGCAGCCACTGCATCATGAGCTCAATTTCCGGCCAGGGAGGTGACCTACATGGCACAGCAGACCTCTCCTGACCCACCTGCTACTCCCTTCAGCAGTGTATTTCAGTACATCTGCCTGTGCTGCTCCCCACTCTGTCTCTGGTGAATCCTCTCACCCCCAGCCCCCATACTTCTTGTATGCATAAATGAATGAATCTTTTAAAAAAAAATTTAAGTTTTGTTTTGTTGGGCGGGTTGGGGCCCTTGGATTCAACTTCCTGGATTTGATTCTTGCTCCACCGCTTGCTAGCTTTTTGCCTTAATTGCCTCATCTACACAAAAGTACTACACTTATTTCATATTTGCTTAGAATACAGCCTCCTATATATTCTCAATAAATGATCATAGTAATCTCACCATAAGAACATGAGTAGAGTTACCTAAACCAAGAGATCTTGAATGGCTTTGATGAAGATCACAAATTCTGTAAACTTTATTTAATAAATTTTGTGACTACTTCACTTACTAAATGTCCCATACTGTCCAAAGTACTACTTTTTTCTCGCTTCCTAAGGTTTACAAGTAGCTGCCAAAACTTAACGTTTCTAAAACTATTTTCATTTTCTGCTCTATACAAATTATCAAACTGAAGCCCAGATTCCTCTGCCTAATTTTTGAAGGCTGAAAACCAGAGTCTCTCTGTATGCCTTCACTTCCCCATCTGCTGATCTTCGTCGGTAGCCAGGCTGTGGCCTCCCATCAAAGAACATTCATTCCTGATGCTTTGTTTAAGCTGCTGTATATTCTGCTACCTCCAGCCCTCTCTTCCTAGTTATTTTCCTTCTTTCTTCTTCTAGTGTCTAAACATCATCCACCATACATTTGCAATCTTCTCTGTTACCTTTACATGAATACTCATAAACATGTCCTACATGGAACATGCTGCTCTGGTTGTTAGGGTTCATGATCAGTAGTGAAGTGAAGCAGCATTCCTGGCTGCTCCATTTGTCAGAACTCTCCCCTCTCTAAACTTTTAGTAAACTTGCAGTAAGTTTCAATAATTGTTTTCATATTACTTTTCTAAGTTCTGTTGCATATCTTTACTAATTACCTTGTGCAATTCTGTACTAGGAATCATACTAACAATATGGGTTGTATGCAAGACAATTTATTGATCACTATTTTTGTTATTGATCACTTAATTGGAACTAAAAGTCTATAAAGAAAATAGACACTGAAGAAGGAATTACAAATACAGTGAGACTTATAAAAGGATGTGTAGAATGCTTACAACAGGAAGAGCTGCATGAATGCCTGCGATAATGCCACCCTGACAGGCATGTAAAGAGAGGGGAGGTGTGCGTAAGTAAGGAAATTGCTTGTGTAAATTAGGCTATGAAGCAAAAGAGAACTTAGTTAAGGAAACTATATGAAAGACTATGGGTATACATTAAGAAAAATAAGAGGAAAAGTGAAGTGTTGTGGTGATTAAATGAAATGTCTAAGAAACTATATTCCAGTTACAAAGTAAAGCAAAATTATTAGACACAACTAAGACTAGAAGAAAAAATTATGTTGCATTAAAACAAAAACTGAATTAAAAATCAATCTGTTAAGTCAGATAAGAAAAATAAGCAAGCTTTACTGGAAATGAAATGCAACAAATACAGTAATTGTTGGTTTTTTTTTTTTAAAGATTTATTTGTGCATACAGAACTGGGGTACAGGCCAGAGGCTTAGGAGCAGCAAGAGGCTTCACCAGAGACAGAGAGGGGAGCAGAACAGGCAGATCGACGAAGTACACTGCTGAGGGGAGCAGCGGGCGGGTCAGAAGAGGTCTGCCGCGCCAGGAATCGAACTCATGCGGAAGCGGCTTTATATTCTCAGTGCTGGGCTTTAACCTGCTGCGCCACCAGGGAGGGCCAGTAATTGTTTTTTAACAAAGATTTCTGAACCTGCACAACCACAAACTATGGAGGCAGATTTCAGATAATCACAGAAGATATGAGTTATCAGGGACAGCTGCCGTCCTGAATGTCCACAGTCAGCGCTAGCTGTGGGGTCCTCACAGTTTTCACAGATACACGTGGATGAACAGATCCAATTCACAAATACAAAAACATCATCTTGCAAACACTAAGGATAGCAAAAGTATGTCATCTGCTTGGGGATGCCATCCAATCATCATCTTCTAGCAATAAGCTCCCAGAGTGAGTACAAATGTTCTTCCTCATCACAGAATAATTTGAGACAGATAATAGAACTTCAAATGTGAGAAATAAGTTTCAAAATACAGTTAAAAACTTTGTTCACAAGTCATAAAAAATTTCACTTTAAAGATCTGACTCCAGTCTACAATTTGGTATTCTAAAGCAGGACACCTAATTGCTCAGATCAGCTAGTTGCATCCCAGAAAAAAATACGCTACTATTTTCCACTGTCCTAAAGGGCAAGCAGATGGGAAGCAAGGACAGGGCTTCTCACGTAGGTCATTCTCGCACACAGCACTGAGCCCTGAATTGATAGGTCTAGTGAGACATTTGATTCTAAGTGCATACCAAATACAAAATACTTACTGGATCTAAAAGTGAGTAAATGGCCAAGATAGAAAAAAATGAAAGGAAGGTGAAGAAAAGGAAGAAATTATTATAGAACAGAAATAATGGAATTAAAATGGAAATTACACATTCCTTAATGAAACAAATCTTGAACCATTTTTATATCAAAGTTTTAGAATAAAATTTCTCTTTTAAACTCAATGATTACCTTTAAACATTTAAGAAATATTTAAATTCAATAAGAACATGGAAAATAAGAGTATTCTTTACTTATTTCTGTTAATGCCTATATAGTACATACAATTTCATTTTAATAGCAAAATAAACAATTAAGATGCAGTCATTTGCTTTTGAAACTTTACTTAAAAGTTACTTTGGGGGCCCTCCCTGGTGGTGCAAGGGGTTAAAGCACAGCACCATGAAGCTGTGCAGACACTGCAGCATGAGTTCGGTCCCCAGTCAGGGAGCTGACCCACATAGCACAGCAGACCTTTCCTGTCCTAGCCTCTGCTCCTCTTCAGCAGTTTGTTCCAGTTAGTTGCCTGTCCTGCTCCCCACTCTGTCTCTGGTGAATCCTCTCACCCCTGCACCTCTGGCCTGTACCCTAGTTCTTGCACGCATAAATAAATAAGTCTTTCTTAAAAAGTCACTTTGGGACTTACAGTGAACTGTGCAATCAAAAACATACAATTCAGAAGAGGAAAAAAATAATCCTACACTAATGTAAATATAAACTTAATTGCATGCATTAACCAAAATGCAAAACAATCAGCAGTTGTTACAGCATCAAAATCCCAAAAGCACAACCAATGACTAAATAACAATTTCAAAATCTTACCTCTCTGTAATGGAATTTCCTATTACTAATGTGTATGTACTTTGCCACCTTAATTCATATATTCAAACATCAAAAATATGCCTTCACAGTAAATCTTACCTCATTGTATCTGTTGCTGGGGATTTTGATGCTGGTTTTCCGGACTTCCATATCAACCACCAAACCTTGAACTACTGGCAATGTATATTGGTAATTTCTGAAGTCCTGCACAAAAGCAGAAAAGAATTTGTCAGTGTCAGAATTTGATTTTTTAGAAATAAAATTAGCACAAATGAAAGAATATCAACACTGAAAGATTACATTTACCTAAATGAGGACATAAATATAAACATATGCATATTCTAGCTATCCAATTAGATTGTAAACTGTTATGAGGAAGTGAACATGACAGCTTCATATACTACTTATAGACAATATTAAACAAATATGTGAATATTCTGTTTTATCACCACTCAACAGTCATTAAAGATCTTTCTTCTCTCAAAGGTAAGCTCCAAGAAGGTAGAAATCCTTGGTTTTTCTGTTCTTATTATATCCCAAAGGCCTGGAACACTAGGCATTCAATATAAATTTTGGGAGTAAAACATATACATGCACATGTGAACATACATGCCACAGGCACATACAGAGAAGGAAAGATTAGTGCCAGTCACTCATGTACATTATGAGGGGAATCTGGAATGTTTGAGAGTTGGCTAAAGACACTCCCTGACTTCTGTATAAAGACTAGCTGGTAGTGGAGCAAGGACAGAAGGAAGGAAATCAGATAAATAGAATAAAAACAGACAAGAGCAATTTGGATCAAGATGTTAATAGTTCAAAAGGTGATGAGAAGTTGTTGATTATAGAAATACTCTTAAGGGAAAGTGACAATAATTGCCACTGGATTGAATGTGGAATGTGAGTGAAAAACAAGAGTTGGGAGGCCTCCCTGGTGGCACAACAGGTTAAGGTATAGCACTGTGAAGCTGGCCTTCTTCTGTGCAAGTTCGATCCCCACTTAGGGAGGTGACCCACATGGCGCAGCAGACCTCTCCTGTCTCATCCACTGCTCCCCTCAGCAGTATGCTTCATGGATCTGCTTGTTCTGCTCCCTATACTGTCTCTGGTGAATCTCCTCACCAGCCCTGCACCTCTAGCCTGTACCCCAATTCTATATGCATAAATAAATAAGTCTTTAAAAAAAAAAAAAAACAAGAGCCAGGGCCTCCCTGATGGCACAGTGTTAAAGTCTCAGCACCATCAAACTATCACCAGTCACTTTGGCACAACGGGGGAGCTAGCACAAAATAAAAATAATCCAGGCCAACAGACAAGAGCAACAGACCCAGCAGACCTCTCCTAGCTCTCCCGTTGCTCCCTCAGCAGTGTATTTCAGTAGATCTGCCTGTTCTGCTCCCTGTTTCTGGTGAATCCTCTCACCTTCACACCAATGTCCTACACTCCAGTTTTTGTATGTATAAGTGAAAATAAATCTTTAAAAAAATAACAAGAGTCAGAGATTATTCTAGACTTTATGGCCTCGAAGACTGGGATTGCCACCCACTGAGATGTAGAGTATGGTGGGAAGAGGAGGGTGGAAAACCAAAAGGCTGTAGAAGAAGAACCAAGAAACTGCCTCTGATTGCTTCTATTTATTCAAGGAAGTTAGGGATAGATGGGTTATTGAAAGCGAGGAAAGGAGAGGTGGCACTGACATTTGATAAGAGATAATGTACAATCTAGAAAATCTAGAACAGGGAGAATATAATATATTTACACCAAGAAAAACTGCCAGGTAGCTCTGTGAGCTTCCTTGCGGGTATTAGTCATGAATTTAAAGTAGACCAATGAGTATGCTGTTTTGTATAATTCGGTTTTGTTTTGTTTTGTTTTGTTTTGTTTTGGTTTTGTACCAACATTCAGATGTGGAAGTAAACTAAGAAGGAAGAAAGATTTACATCCACACAGGTATATGGTCAACTGATTTTTGATAAGGGTACAAAGACACTGAATTTTAGGTAGCAAAGGACATTAATTCTTGAGAGATGGAAAATAAACAAGATGAGCTCAAATGATGGACCAGTTTACATATTAGGAGAGTTACCAAGCTCCAGGCAGGGGAAGGGGAACCAGGCAGAAGTCAAACTTGAGAATCCAGAAAGACCATGGCTGCTAGTGTTCATAGGACAAACAGCACCAGAGAGGAGAAAATTGCACAGAGAACTCCAAAGATCTGTAGAGGTTCCCTTCCCATTATTCTGTGGAGTTCTCATTAGCAAATGTGTGTGAGGAAACCTCTTGAGACCAGTAAAAGAACTACATGAAAGGATTACTGGGAACATCTGACATTCTGGGAATTGTGCCTTTTTGCAAAATCTAAATAGGAAATCTCATAATTAATTGTGACTGTATAGGGTGTTAGTATATAATAAAGAATGGCTGGCCTTTGCCCCTGGTTCTTAAGAGGTAGTCTCTGAACCTCCCTGGAATTTCCAGAGAGATAGGCATGTTTTTGTGGACTTTGATAATTCATGTTAATGTGTGACTTCAAATGGGTCCCTGCATAGTTTGTGACAGTAAGATAACTCAGAATGGGGGATGGTCATCACAGAAAGCTCAACCAAGGTATGAGAAGTTCTGAGGCACATGATGTCGAGCCAACCTCAGGGGAGAGAGTGGAGGAGCTGGAATTTGAGTTCAAGCAAAAGTCCAATGATTGAATTGCTTGTGTCTACTAAGGCAACACAAGTAAAATCTCAGGAGGCTTTGAATTTACTCTGCATACTGATATACACTGATAAATTGAGAGCATGCTGCAGCCCTAAGGACAAAGAAGCTTCTCATGACCTTGTTTTAAATGTCTCTTCTGTTGACTAGCCCTAATTTGTAGCTCCTTTGCTATATTGATGCTATATCATAAATATAATCCTTTACTGAGATCTGTGAGTCATTCCACTGAACTAACAAATCTGAAGGGATGATGGGAACTCCCAAGTTTGTATCCACTTGGCCAGAAGTATGGGAGCCTGGGAACCCCTGAGCTTGCAGCTGGTGTCTGAAATTAAGGACAGTATTGTGAAGACTATAATTTATATGCTTGAAAACTAGATTAATTCCCAAAAGTGCCAAAGTTACTACAAGTACTAAGAAAGTTGTTTTAATAATGGGGAATAATTAACCTATAGTACATACGGATTTGGCCCCACCTTAAAAATCTCAGAAGCAAAACTTGAAAAAATCAAATTGTTTCTAGGTAAACTAACTGTATTACTTTTAACAGAATTCAAGAACACTTACAGAAACACAAACACAGAGCAACTTGCTAAGTAAAAATCAATATATGACATTCCCCTCCTCATAAAAGAGAACACCAAAAAACAAAACACCAAACATATAAAGAAGTAGGAAAATAAAACTCAAAATAAGGGGAAAATAAATCAACCAATGGTGGGACCTCCCTGGTGGCACAAGGATTGACATCTCAACTATCAAGCTACCAGCCACTGCAGAATGAGTTCAATCCCCCACTGGAGAGGTGACCCACATGGTACAGCAGACTTCTCCTGTCTCACCTGCTGCTCCCTTCAGCAATGTATTTCAGGAGCTCCATCTGTCCTGCTCCCCACTCTGTCTCTGGTGAATCTTCTCACCCCCCACACCTCTGGTCTGTACCCCAGTTCTGTATGCATAAATAAATAAGCCTTTTAAAAACAAAAAAACAAACAAAAAAACCACAGAAAACCTCAAGGAACCAACTTTCCACCAAGATTTCTACATCTGGCAAAAATATCTTTTTAAACACAAAGAAGATATAAAGATGTTAAAAGTACAAATGCTGAAAGATTTCGTCACTAGCAGACCCACACTACAAGAAATGTTATAGGAATTCTTTCAGGCTGAAAGAAAATGGTACCAGATGGAAATACAGATTTACACAAAGGAATGAAGAACACTGGAAATGTCAACTATATGGGTAAACCTACAAGAATTTTTCTTATTGTTTGAATCAATTAAAAAAAATAAACTGGGTGGCCCTCCCTGGTGGCGCAGCGGGTTAAAGCGCAGCACTAAGAATTGAAAGCCACTTCCGCATGAGTTCTATCCCTGCCTGCCCGGAGGTGATCACATGGCGCGGCAGACCTCTCCTGACCTGATTTGGATTGTCATCACTTCCAGTGGTCATCTTTGTGGCTAGTATAAAGAGAAGACCAAGAAGCGCTGTTTGTCTGAGGTTGTTAGCTTGTTGGGCAAGGAACGGACAGGCAGACTAGCAGAGACCTGACAGGAGTACTGACATGAAAAAGCTATGGGGCTCATAACTCTCCAAATACTAGAACTGATCTTCGGCTATGCACACATAAAACAGAGACCTTAGGCGTCCAGCCAACCAACACCCTTGCTCACCAGAGTCAGAGTCTGCACATGTACAGAGGAGACAGTGTCCAACAGAAAGAGAAAGAACGAAGTCTGAATCCCAGTCCATACACAGATCCCTCAGGAAAGAACAGACAACATACTGGCTTAAGGTGTTATCTTTAGCCAATCTTCAGCTAAAGAGTAAATGATATACACACAAGGGACACCCATAGAATACCAGGTTTAAAATAAGAATAAAACAGAATGTTAGTTGTTTTAATACCTCTAGCTTTTATAATAACCTTGCAAGGTCACTTAGATAATATAAGTGCATAATCAAGAGTTGGAGTCATGTACTATTTCACTCCTGAGCTCCATATACTTTCCAAAAATGTGTATGTTCTCCTCTTCTCCAGCTTTCATTTTCAGCTATATGAGGCCGCTGGGCTATGGGTATCCACACAATTTAAAAATCCTTCTCTGGGCCCTCCCTGTTGGCGCAACAGGTTAAAGCACAGCACTATGAAGCTAGCCATAGCCACGGCAACACAAGTTCAATTCCCAGCCAGGGAGGTGACCCACATAGCACAGCAGACCGCTCCTGACCCACCCACTACTCCCCTCAGCAGTGTACTTCAGTCAATCTACCTGTTCTGCTCCCAGCTCTGTCTCTGTCCCCTCTCATCCCTCCTCCCCCACACCTCTGACCTGCACTCCAGTTCTTATATGCATAAATAAATTGTAAAATAAATAAATAAATAAAAATCCTTCTCTTTTCTTCTCCCATACAAACCCCAGCAAGGAAACAAAGAAATTCCCAACTTACTGCAAGAAGATTCATGATGGTATGTCCTGTCTCTCCAAACAAAGGCTTCCGAAATCTGACACTGAACAGAGGGCATGGATAAACTACGGAAAGGAGAAATGACCAGATTAACTTGGCAGTTTAAAATTTGGGTAAATAAGACATCATGGCTGATAGTTTTCCAAATATAACTATAATGACTCAGAACATGCAATATTCAGGGCTCAAAAAGTATTTACTCAGCATGGCAGCACCACAGGCAAGTCCTAAGTCTTCTACAAATCATACAACAGTAAATCACAATGAGCCTTTTCAAAAATGAACCACAAGACTGGGTTAATGGATCCAGGAAATAAGTGTCTCTTGATTCTTCTGTACTTAAGAAATCTAAGAATTCATCCTTATTTATTTCCAGGAACTAACTTTTTTAAAAAAGGCCAAATACCAAGAGATTCCAAATACCAGCTGGCTTACGCCTTGAACTGACACAAGCTATGCAACCTCTATCGACTGACATATTCCGGATAGAGACAGAAGTGCTCTGAAAAAATCAGACTTTCCACACTAACTTATGTTATGACCTCCCTTTTTTGTATAATTGTAATATCAAAATATTCTGAGCAACCTTCAGCTTACAACTGGATTGCCTCGGCCTCCTAAGGTGCTACCTGGCCCTAACAAGCAAGTACTGCACCAGGGTGAGAAATTCTTCTTGAGTCAAAAGTGATTTGACAACTGGCTGATTAATAAAAAACAAATGGCTGTTTTTGCAAAGGCTCTCTCACTTTGGGACTGAGGAAAACCCAAATCTTATCACTCTACTATTTCACATAGCCTTCTATTGAGTTAGGTTTTCTACTATCTAGACTTCACTTAAACTTCCTACCAAGTTTTTCAAAGAACTTTACTAACTGCAAGCAATTGCAATAATGCTAGCTTCTGATATCTGTTATGTAAAACATAATTTGTCCTATTTTCCAACCAGATGACAAAAAATGCTTACTATATAGGATACTATAAAAAATAAAGTTTAGGCCCTCCCTGGTGGCGCAGCGGGTTAAAGCGCAGCACTGAGAATCTGAAGCCACTTCCGCATGAGTTCGATTCCCGCCTGCCGC